TCCCTTCTGCCCTTGTTATCCCGCTTACTTTGCACAGAGTATCGACGCGCTGGCAGATGCACTGGATGAATTCACGGGAGGCGTGGTGCTGGTGTCGCACGACTTGCGCTCATCTCCCGCGTGTGTGACGACGAGGAGAGGGCAGAGATCTGGGTGGTAGATGGTGGTGGACCCAAACTTGCCTGCTTTGTGCTCACATTGTTTGTATCACCCCTCTCCGTGTCTCCCGTGTTTTATACAGAGTATCGACGCACTTGCAGACGCACTGGATGAGTTCACCGGAGGCGTGGTGCTGGTGTCTCACGACTCGCGGCTCATCTCCCGCGTGTGTGACGACGAGGAGAGGGCAGAGATCTGGGTGTAGATGGTGGTAGACCCAAACTTGCCTGCTTTGTGCTCACATTGTTTGTATCACCCCTCTCCGTGTCTCCCGTGTTTTATGCAGAGCATTGACGCACTCGCAGATGCTCTAGACGAATTCACCGGGGGCGTGGTGCTGGTGTCTCACGACTCGCAGCTCATCTCCCGCGTGTGTGATGATGAGGAGAGGGCTGAGATCTGGGTCGTTAGTTGGTGGCCCAGAATAGCCTGTTGAGTCCTTTTTTGGTACCCCCCTTGCCCCCTATCCCCTGCACAGAGTATCGACGCACTGGCAGATGCACTGGACGAGTTTACCGGAGGCGTGGTGCTGGTGTCTCACGATTCGCGGCTCATCTCCCGCGTGTGTGACGACGAGGAGAGGGCGGAGATCTGGGTGGTAGACGATGGGACGACCAAGAAGTTTCCCGGAAGCTTCGAGGAGTACAAGCAGCAGCTGATCAAGGAGATCATTGCCGAGGTGGAGGATTAGAAGAATGAGAGGATGAGGGAGGGAGGGGATCAGGGTTCTGGGGTTAGAGAGGGTGAGTGAGTGAGAAAACTCATGAGTGCAGCAGCTGATCAAGGAGATCATTGCAGAGGTGGAGGACTAGGATGGGGGGGGACTGGAGAGGGTGAGCGAGGGTGTAGGGAGAGTTGGGGTGGAAGGGATGGAGTGGAAGGGATGGAGTGGAGTGCCTTTTGAGATGTATCATGAGTCAAGCAGCAGCTGATCAAGGAGATCATTGCAGAGGTGGAGGACTAGGGTGCGCGTAGCGCGGGTAGTGAGGATGAGCAGGGGCAGGAAGAGTGGTGGTTGAGGTTATGAAGTGCAAGCACATCTATATTCTGGAAAATTCAGCGGGAGGAGGGTTAGGTAGTTCAGCAGAAAATACTAGAAAGGGCAGTAGTGTCCGGCAGTGGGACTCGTCTTACCATAACATTTTTATTCCGTCATCTGTGGGGTTTGGAAGGGACAGCGGGAGGGAGAGTGGAGGGCGTCGTCGAGGGAGTTGGATTGCTAAGTGGGTTATGCTGGTTGTGTGACTTGAGCAACAAATTTTGTTGAATAGAAGCTGTTTCATTGGTTAATTGGGGTGATGTAAACATGATAATGATATCAGAAACACTTCTGACAAAGCCTTCGTTCAGTGTTCACATCCGAGGGCCTTTATCAAAGAATAACCACAACTACAACGATTGTATCTGGTTACATTGGATGAGGCATTGGGACGGTCGCGCGAGGTACTGATAAGCACAGCTTTGCTTCACTCGACTCATGAGGATCAAAGGTACAATCAAAGCTTCGACTCAGCTAAACCTCAACCTGTCACAGCAACCTGCTATACTCCCTACATTGACCAGCATTTTGCTCTGTTTGCAGACATTGCATAGAACTAATAGGATTGCTCGCTTTATCTCCAAGCAGGTTTACTATGTCGAAACCTAATGGCCCACAGAACTTGGGTGTACTATCACATGGCAGGACAGATACCAAGCGACCACGTGCCCTGCTCATGCGTAGCAAATGAATGGTGTAAGTGGCACACGATCTGGCGTTAGTAGCACACTGTTAGTCAGACGCACCGGGACCTTCTGAAACATCAAAAGTCTTGGAGCGCTATTAGTCGCGGAAAAGATAGTTCCTTCTGGAACATACTCTTCGCGTCGGTGTTTAGAACCTGCAGTTTCGCCATCAGCGATCCTGCGTGCGACCGCTGCGACGTCTCAGCGATTTCACGCGCCCGTATCGTGCGAGTGGTTACGAATGGGCGACCACGTACGACGGCAGCGGGCACGAGTCAGATAGTCGCATAATAACGGGATAGTTCCTTCCCAAACCGGCGTACAGGCCTGCATCAAGGCCTTCTTGAGCCTGCTGCACCGAACCAAGCATCCGATCCACGACGACCCGCCGATCCTCGGCGCCATTCACAGCTCCAGCTTCCGAACGTAGCGGCAAATCCGAGGAGGTCAGGGCAGCGGGATTCCCATCACATAAACCGCCTTTCTCCAATCCTGTCCTTTCACACTCGTTCTCCTCGCATTCGTAAAACTCCAATTCGAGCGCCTCGTCGAAAAAGTCGTCGCCGATGCGGTGTTGCCATTCCAGCAGCAGCCGCGGCGTGCACGGCGAACCGCCGTCGGAGCTGCTGTAGGCCTCCATGATTTTATCCGAATCCGATCGCGGATACGGCGCGATTTGGTCCGACTCCGATCGAGGGAACGCGCGAGACGATAGAGGGTACGATTCGACGGAGAAACGTCCCGAGTCGGGGATGTTCGCGACGCGACCGTCCACTGATTTTGATCGCCGGATGGCGTGTGAGACTTTCTGGCGAAGCTTCCGAGCTCGCTTGAAGCTGGGGAAGTGAGCCGCCTTCGACCCGCTAACGCCCATGATGAGCGAAGCTGCTACTTGCTGGATGTCTTGATGCGAGGCGCAAGCAGAAATGAAGAGATCCAGAAGCGGCGTCAACTCTGGAAGAAATAAGTGAAGTTCTTGCTACGCCAAGCTGACTTGAACTTATTTGCTGATATTGCGGACTGGCAATGGTGCAACAGGGAACTTGCCTTTTTCGAGGGTGGTAGAGGAATTGTGACTGATCGAGCTAGCATTTGAAGAAATGTTGAAGAACCAGCGCTCTTTGCGGATTAGAGGTCTGGTCTGTCAAGTGAAAGGGCGCCTACGGTACTGTGGTGTGGAATTGGGAAAATCATCGGTCAAGCAGGCTTGTTTGCTGCCCGACGCGATCACACCCGCTGTTTCAACTTGATCACGTCACGACTCCATGTCCTCGTCGTGAGTGGCGCTCCACCGTTCGAAGTGGTGCCAGCAAAGCAGGCGGCGACAATCGCTGCCACTCATGCACCACTGTGTGTCCCGTTCTCGGACCGCATTTTGAAGTCAGCGAGCTGTGGTTGGAGGAGTTTGAAATGTACTTGTTCATAGGAAAAGAGAAACTGCAGATTTGATGTGGAATCGAACGAAGGCCAGATGAAAGACATTGAATCTGGGAAGGGTGTGGTGTGGTGCGGTCTGGTGGTCGTCAGGTCACGAAAGTGGGCCCGAACCGCAATGTTGAACAGCAAATTTCGCGCGGGAACAATTTTGCCTCGTCGTCACACAAGCACATCCTCAGCATAAGTTTCTTAGCTACCGTGAGGCGACATTGGCGGCACAGTTAGTCCTTATATTACGGGAGTGACATGGATGCGCGAAGCTCTGTGATTCGAGTTCGAGGACAAATGCACCTTTGACTGTGTGTACGCTGGCCTGTGCTCACGGTGATTACGGTAGAACACGACAAAGTAGCAAGCAGTGGGAGAGGATGTCCCGTGGGTTTTAGCGACTCCAACAGCACCCCACGAACAGCACCCCCCAACCACGCGTTCCGAATTGATCGCGGCACGAAATACAGTTCCTCGGTCCACAAACTTCATGTTTCACCACGGTTAAGTACGGCTTGTGCGGTGTGTTTTTCAGGGAGCTATTTTGCAATGCACTTACAGCAGTGATGCTCTTTATGTGTCACTTGTTATAATAATGAGTATTTATTTCCTTTTGCCACCCAATCCCTTTATAGCAGAATACATACCTTATGAAATTATTTATATTATCCGCTCAAATTGTGTTACGCGTTTGTTTCAAGTTGGAATCTGCATTTTGTTTTCACTACGTTATATGCCCAAATATATATATATATATATATGGTGCTTGCTAGCTTGTACTTACAAGGACGCTGCATTTAAAGCATCCTGACAGGGAAAGTGTTTGACAGCGTTTTCTTGCGTCTGGGCGTGAAAAAAAAATCCTTCCACAAGCGAATCGCTTGACAGTTTTTTCAAGGCTTGCGAAATCTGCCCGTCGCAGTCGCACCGCACAACATCCGACGAAGCAAAAGGTATGCCAAACTGGTTGGTGTGGAGGCGGTATGGCTGAACGAACCTCCAGCCGACGCGTCAACGGCTATTTACGCACAGGTTGAATAGAAACCGTGGGCAGTTCACTTACGCAAACTAGAAACGTCGATAATACTGGCCGTTCCGTTCCCCAACTATTTGTCGTCCTTGAACTGAAATCATCAAACATGTAGCTTCTCCCCACCGAGAAAACCGGCCCGTCAAAACAGAGGTGTTTATCAATGATACCCCATCGAGTGACATAATAGCCATAGCTCCATTCGAAGCGACCCTACAATCCCGGTCAGGTTCGGCTCCTTCACCAAACCTGTCTTTTACTCCGGCCCGCAGTCTGTCAGAACCTGACTTCCTGATCCCGGCCCGGCCCAGACCACATTCTTGTTACCGTTGCCTGTGCGTGGCTCAACTGGGCTTCATCGGGATATGGTTTCGGAATTGCTTGCTGATGGTGGAATTCGCTAGCTCAGTCGGACTGGAACAGATCCTACTTGCTGATTGTTCCTTTTCCGTGTTCTGCTTCTTTACTCTTACCAGCAAAAGCACTTTCAGGATACCCTTGTCGGAGTAGTGCTTGCCTGATATTATTTAGGAGTCGGACCGAAGCACTGCCTGGGGTTGTGGTGTGGTTAACTCAACATAGTGCATGACCTAGACGCTTCGATAGTCACTGGTTCGAATTTTATATATTAGCTGCTGTTATGACGTCGAGACGTCACGTGATGTCGTCTTCGGCGTTTCTGCCTCTTCTGTTTCTCGTTTCACTGAGCCTTCTTTCCGCCGCGAGAGCAGCGCCAGCAGCGGCTAAGCCATGGGGTAAGAAACGTGCACTTCGTCCTGTTTCCAGCAACAGTCAACCTTCCAGGCAAGCACGTTCTGAAGTTGTTGTTATGATAATAACCTTGGCATAATGGCGTGCATTTCACAAGTACTGGTCTTGAAGCAGCCAATAGTGATCAATCTCAGTCGTCAAACCTCCTTATAGAATCTCTTGCCAACCTTAGCTGTCTCTAGACTTAGCTACAGCCTCACGATCCCGGTAACGTCTTACCAGGTTTTGCTGCATTCCCACAGTGACACTGATAAATCACTGTCACAAATATCCAACATCGAGCTCGTTGCTGTCCTGTGGTAGACTTCGATGGTAGTGTTGAACCGCCGATGCTGATGACAAACAGCATCGATGGGCTTCCCGTACCCGTATCCATTAATTTGACACTGCAGTACGCATGGCCAGACGACGGGCTTACAAGCAGCATGTCTGGCACGTCAAATCGATACTGCCACGGTTCGTCTATCTCACCCTGCAGGTGGCATCCGCATCGACAGCGGCGGAATGAAGAACTTCACGGACAACTTCACCCGGCAGTGGTCGCGCGACGACGGCTTCACGAGCGGCATGGCCGGCACGCTGAACCTCACGGGCGCGCCGAACGAGTTCAACATGCCCATGTACCAGAAGACCACACGTTACTACCTTTTCGCGCTCGAGAACTGCTACGAGATGCCGGTCCCCGCCGGGCACTACCTTATTCGGATGTTCTTCAACCCGGGACCCCCTTCGGAACGCGGAGACCCGGTGAGTTCTGGCAGTCTCACAGGCGCGTATCCGCGATGCCGGTCCCCGCCGGGCATTACCTTATTCGGATGTTCTTCAACCCGGGACCCCCCTCTGAACACAAAAATCCGGTGACTTCTGGCAGCCTTGCGAGTGCTTCTTGTCCTTGGAAAAGCCTGCGAAATGTCTGCAATACGTACACAAAAGACCGTTCGAAGCCCTCACGGAGACGTGACCCACCTCGACGGTGAGTATTCGGTGAGTGCTGTCGGTCGCCCAAAGAGTCGAAACGTCCTCTCTAACCGCGGTGAGCGACAGACTTATGATTTTCTCACCGTTGACCCTCTTCCCCTCCCCCCCCCATCCCTCCTCCCCGTTCCTCTCCCCAACCACCCCCAACCCTTTCCGCCTTCCCCCTTCGCCTTCCCCCCTCTCTGGCAGACCCGCGAGTTCGCGGTGTCCACGCTCTCCACCCAGATCGCCATGATCACGCCGCGAACGCCTGGCGAGTTTCGCGAAATGATGGTAACCTACCCCGGCCCGAACGCGGAGCTGGACGTCTGCTTCGTCGCCAACCCGTCCGCACTGTCGGCGTTCGTCAACGCCCTCGAGATCCTGCCGGTAAGACAAGGGGGAGAGTCCTTTTTGGGATGCTGCCGGTAAGGCAAGGGAGAGGCCGAATGGTATTATTCACGGCCGTTAAAGACAAGCGAACTCACCCTTGTCGGCGTTCGTCAACGCCCTCGAGATCCTGCCGGTAAGGCAAGGGAGAGGCTGATAAGTTGTTTCGTCCACGTCATTACCTGCCCCTTTTCATGCACGGTTGCTCCATCCACGGTTGTTGGAGAGAAACAAGCTGGCCCTTTTTTCCCTCGCCCTCCACCTTCCTTCCCCATCTCCTTCTCCCCTCCTTAGATCGACCCAGAGGCGTACGTGACGGACCCCTTTTACATTCTTTGACCATTGGTTCCGAGTCTTAGCATGTTGTCGCCTCCTCCTCCCCTCCTGCTCCCCTATTCCACCCCCGATCCCCTTTTTTCCACACCAGATCGACCCATAGGCGTACGTGACGGACCCCAACTACATTCTCTTCAACTACTTGTGCGTGGTTCCGAGTCTCAGCATGTTATCACCCGTCTTCCTCTCCTCTTCCTCTCTCCGTCTCCCTTTTCTTCACCCCCCCCCACAGATCGACCCAGAGGCGTACGTGACGGACCCCAACTACATTCTCTTCAACTGCGTGTGCGCGCAACTCCCTCCCCTTTTCCCCTCCCCCTCCACCTTCCTTCCCTTTCCTTCCTTCCTTTCCCCCCAGATCGACCCAGAGGCGTACGTGACGGACCCCAACTACATTCTCTTCAACTGCGTGCGTGTGCTTCCGACTCTCAGCATGTTGTCGACCCTCTTCCTCCCTTCTTCCCACCCCCTTTACCCCCTTCCTTTCCCCCAGATCGACCCAGAGGCGTACGTGACGGACCCCAACTACATTCTCTTCAACTACGTGCGTCTGCGGACGGGGAAGGGCATGAGCTTCGGGGACGGAGTGAGCCTGCCGGATAAGGACAAGGGTCACCGCCAGTGGTTCAACATGTCCACGGCCAAGCTGCTCAACGAGCCTGTGACCGTCAGGTTGGTGCTGAATTGGTTTCGTCTGGTGGGCGTAACTATCCTCACGGTACAGTATGGTTGGGTAACATGCTCTAGTGGTTCAACATGTCCACAGCCAAGCTGCTCAGCCAGTGGACGTCAGGTCGGTTCTGGATGGGCTCTATTGGCAACTGTATGAGCCTCTATTGGCAACTGTATGAGCCTCTATTGGCAACTGTATGAGCCTCTATTGGCAACTGTATGAGCCTCTATTGGCAACTGTATGAGCCTCTATTGGCAACTGTATGAGCCTCTATTGGCAACTGTATGAGCCTCTATTGGCAACTGTATGAGCCTCTATTGGCAACTGTATGAGCCTCTATTGGCAACTGTATGAGCCTCTATTGGCAACTGTATGAGCCTCTATTGGCAACTGTATGAGCCTCTATTGGCAACTGTATGAGCCTCTATTGGCAACTGTATGAGCCTCTATTGGCAACTGTATGAGCCTCTATTGGCAACTGTATGAGTTTGATAGAGAATGCTCAGGTGAATGCTCTCACAGCACAGTACAGTCTGGGAGATGCGCCAGTGGCTCCCGGGTGCTCATTGTGCTGCAATTTTCCTTCCCTTCCCTCCCCCCCTTCTCGTCCCCGTTTTCCTCCTCCAGCTGCGAGCCTGCCTGCTCCTACCTCTCGGTGCTGGCGTCCACAGCCTTCACGGGTGCTGACGTGGCACCGCACTACTTCCCCAGCGTCCTCTACTCGTCAGCCATCACCAACGCGGCCGGCGGCAAGATCACGTTCAAGGTCACGATCCCCGACAAGGGCTCCCGAGTACTCATCGTGCTGCACTTTGCCGAGATTGACCCAGGTGAGTTCTTGTCCCTCTTAATATTATCATAGCTCCCGGGCGCTTCCCTTAAAACTTCCGGAAGATCACGTTGAAAGTCACAGTCATGGTGCCGGGATCTTTTGAGTCGACTCAAGTCAGCCTGAGCGCTTTCCTTAAGAACTCCTGGAAAATGACGTTCAAAGTCACAGTCATGGTGCCGGGATCCCGGACAAGGGCGCTTGGGTGCTCATCGTGCTTCATGTTGCCGCGATTCTTGTCTTTATTTTTCTCAGTCCTCCTCTCTCCCTACCTGCTCTTCCCCGCCTACTCCCTCCTCCCAGCCGTCACTGCTGCCGGTGCACGTGTGTTCTCTATCTCTGTCAACGGGAAGCCCACACCAGGGGGTGACAGCATTGACCTGATCAAGTGGTTAAAGCTTAATTGTCCCTCCTCCACACCCCTCCCCCCCACCCCACCTTTCCCGGCTCTTTTGCCTACTCCTCCCCGCCTATCCCCTCCCTCCAGCCGTCACTGCTGCTGGCGCTCGGGTCTTTTCTATCTTTGTCAACGGGAAGCCCACCCCGGGCGGCGATAACATTGACCTGATCAAGTGGGGCAAGGCTTCCAAGGTGGCGCTCTTCAAGACCGTTGATTGGCAGCTGGGCCCGGACGAATCGACGGTGGAGATCGTGCTGGCGGGCGCTGAGGGCGCATCCAAGGGCCCCACTGTTGCTGGGCTGGAGGTGTTCCGGCTGGTGTCCAGAGGCCCTCGCACCAACGCGGATGAGTGTGAGTCGAAATCCCTTTTCAGTATAAAAGAGACGACATTGAAGGCTAAGAGACTACTTTTGAGGCGGCCCACCCGTGTTGCGGGGCTGGAGGTGGTCCGGCTGGTGTCTAGAGGCCCTCGCACCAACGCGGATGAGTGTGAGTTTCTGGGTTTTGAGCTAAGTAGGAAAGGGAGTTCGAGCTCCTAATGAGTGTGAGTTCTAGAGGTTTGAGCTTCGAAGGAGTGGGACTGTGAGCTTTATCATGAGCGTTGCTTGCAGAGGTCTGAGTTGCGAGGGAGTGGTAGTTAGGTGGAAAAGCGGTGTGCGTGCAAGGTATACCACTGAATAATCTGTTTCAAACCCCCTTCTTCCCCACCTCCCCACTTCCTCCCCCCTCCCACCGCCCCATCATTCAATTCAGTCAAGCTGATGAGGAAGATCCGCGACGCCCTGGTGGTGCCGGAGATGAGCAACTGGCAGGGCGACCCCTGTGCGCCCATCGCATCCTACTTTACTCCCCTCCGCCACACCTCACCCATTTCAACCCCTTCTCACCTCTGCCGAATCCCCCACACCAGTCAAGCTGATGAGGAAAATCCGCGACGCCCTGGTGGTCCCGGAGATGAGCAACTGGCAGGGCGACCCCTGTGCGCCCATTGCCTGGCCGGGCGTGGGGTGCCGGATCACAGAGAAGAACGACTTCAGCATCACGGGCATGTGAGTGCTCGTGAGGGTGACTGTGTATGTGGGCGAGGGTGTGGGTGAGTGTAGGAGTAGTGTGAGTGTGGGTGCGGGTGGAGTCATGTATGTGCGCCCATTGCCTGGCCGGGGGTGAGGTGCCGGCTCACAGAGAAGAACGACTTTAGCATCACGGGCATGTGAGTGTGATGGAATTAGCTGGCTAGGCATGGGATGCCGGCTGACAGAGAAGAACGGATTCAGCATCATGGGCATGTGAGTGTGGGTGCAGCTGGTAAAAGTAAGTGTGTGAAGAAGTGGTTTCATGGGACGGGTGTGTACATGTGTCACTGACAAAGGTCACACAGGATCAGCTAAAAGTTACCAGTACACCGGAATGTATACAGGCGTACGATATGTCCAATGGCATCCCACCTTGACCCCATTGACCTCGTCTTATTTCTGTTTTTCTCTCCCCACCCATTGAAATCCCTCCCTCCCACCCTCCTCAGTACGCTGTCAGCAGCAGAACTCTCGGGTTCGTTGATCCCCGACATCCACCAGCTCAAGAACCTGCAATACCTGTGAGTAGAAGCTTCTGAAGCGCTGCAAGGCTGAGTTACACTTGCACTTGCAACGCTGCTCCCTGTACAACGATATTTGTGGCTCGCTGATCCCCGACATCCACCAGCTCAAGAACCTGCAGTACCTGTGAGTAGAAGCTTCTGAAGCGCTGCAAGGCTGAGTTACACTTGCACTTGCAACGCTGCTCCCTGTACAACGATATTTGTGGCTCGCTGATCCCCGACATCCACCAGCTCAAGAACCTGCAGTACCTGTGAGTAGAAGCTTCTGAAGCGCTGCAAGGCTGAGTTACACTTGCACTTGCAACGCTGCTCCCTGTACAACGATATTTGTGGCTCGCTGATCCCCGACATCTGCCAGCTCAAGAACCTGCAGTACCTGTGAGTAGAAAGCCTTGAGGCGCTGATCGGTTTGCTTGCACATTCCCGTGCACTTGCAACGCGGCTGCTTGTCCCCGACATCCACCAGCTCAAGAACCAGCAGTACCTGTGAGTATAAAATCTAAATTGCTGGTAGGGACGCGTGGGCACGCTGCTGCCTTTCAGCCAACCGTGTCGTTCACTCATCCTGGATATTCACCTGCTCAAGAACCTGCAGTCCCTGTGAGTAATGACTTGGGCTGCTGTGAAGGCTCAAATAGAGTGGTCATTTCTGCTGGGCAGTTGCTGTTTGCTCTAAAAATGCTTGAGAACCTGAGGTACTTTGTGAATACCTTTTTCAGCCATGTTATGCTGCTTCTGACCGATTTTGTGTCGTCGCGTTGCGCATGTGGTGTTCTGCGCATGTGTGCAGGAACCTGAGCAACAATCACCTCTCAGGAAGCATTCCGCAGGCACTCATCGACCTGGAGCAGCTCACCATGCTGTGAGTGTGGTGGCAGGAGATGCTGATTCTTAGTGTACAGCTGATTTAAGTAGGAAACAATATGCATCCCGCAGACACTCATCAACTTGGAGCAGCTCACCATGCTGTAAGTGTGCTGGCAATCACCCTTTCTCACTCATCTTAGTATCTAACCGATCTACATGTAGAAAACGTTAGTTTCCCTCTTCTCAATCACCCTTTCTCTCCAACCAACCTCTCTCCCTTCCCGTTAGTGCATGCTCACCGTACTCCACCTTCGTCTGCCCTTCTCCGTTCTATCATTTTCACTTCTATCCTCTTCTCCCTTCTGTCCTCCCTTCGGTACTTCTCATCACCCTTTCCTCAATATGTCCTGTTCTCCCCGCATGCTCACCACCATACCCACAGGGATCTATCAGCCAACGACCTCAAGGGCTCCATACCCCGGGGGTTCAGCAGCATGCCTGCTCTCAAGATTCTGTGAGTGCCTGCCGCACGGCTCCTGCGCTCGTCTTTGCCTTGTTGGGGACGCATTTGTTGGTACAGCAAGAAGGTTGTCGGGGATCCATGTGCGTCATTCTGGGTTACATTTTTTATTGCTACAAAGACTGAGTGTCGGGATTTTTCCTTGCACTCAACACGTACTCTTTCTTCCCAATACCCCGTCATCCCTCACCTCCCAGTGACCTGCATGACAATGAGCTGACAGGAGGTGTGCCTGCGGATCTCTTCCCGCCTCCCCTCCATCCTCTTCTCACCCCTGGCCACCGTTCTGCTTCCCACCCCCACCCCCCCCCCCCACACCTCGCAGTGACCTGCATGACAATGAGCTGACAGGAGGTGTGCCTGCTGATCTCTTCCCGCCGCCCCCTGGCGTCATGATTGAGTGAGCCCCCTTTTCGCCTTACCCCTCCTCTCCTTATCTGCCGCCTCTCTCCTTCCTTTCTGTTGATCGTTTGGTATAAGCATTGGCTGCATCAATGCTATCCATTTCACGAATCGCTGGCCACAACCACGACAAACCATAACTTCCCACAATCACATTCTATCTCTACCTCACTCCCCCAACCAACTTTCCCCTCCCCGTTTTCTCCAACAACCCGAACGTGTGTGGTACGACGACGCGGCCAGCCTGTCAGGCACTGGGCGGGCCAGGAATGAGCGACATCACAACCTTACCTCTCCCTTCCCCCCTTCCCCACCCACCCCCCCCCTTCCTCCCTCTCCCCAGTTTCTCCAACAACCCGGATGTGTGCGGCACGACCACGCGGCCAGCCTGTGAGGCGCTGGGCGGGCCAGGAGTGAGCGACATCACGATAGTGCAGCCGACGTCCTCATCAGTTTCATCCACCCAGATCGTGTGGATCATCACAACACAAACTAACAATAGTGCAGCCAGTTTCACACGAATCACATTCTCGACCTCCCTTCCCCTGCTTCCCCGCCCCCTTCCTCTCTCTCCCCAGTTTCTCCAACAACCCGGATGTGTGCGGCACGACGACACGGCCAGCCTGTGAGGCGCTGGGCGGGCCGGGAGTGAGCGACATCACAACCTTACCTCTCCCTTCCCCCCTTCCCCACCCAACCCCCCCCTTCCTCCCTCTCCCCAGTTTCTCCAACAACCCGGATGTGTGCGGCACGACCACGCGGCCAGCCTGCGAGGCGCTGGGCGGGCCGGGAGTGAGCGACATCACGATAGTGCAGCCGACGTCCTCATCAGTCTCATCCACCCAGATCGTGTGGATCATCACTGCGTGCATCCTGGGCGTGCTGCTCATCATTGCTGTCGTGGTTGCCATTCGTCTCATCTTCTTCCAACCGCACCTACCACTGGAGGATGATGACACTGGTGAGCCGCCCCCCATCCTCCCCGTTCCCTACCCTCCCTCCCTGTTCCCCCTCCTCCTCCCCTCCCCGTTCCCCCCTTCGTGGTTGCCATTTACCTCATCTTCTTTCAACTGCACCTACCACTCAAGGATGACGACAATGGTGAGCAACTCAATGTGGCTTTTCTCAACAGTGGCCGCTCACGTTGCCTTTCCTGTGTTTGCATGCGCGCCCCTGTTGCCTTCCTGGTGCTGCAATGTAACATGCTAACTGATGACACATTATTACCACCCCTTTTGCAGGAAATGGTGGGTTCTACAGCAATGCCCACCGAGGCCACTTTTTGGAAGACGAAGAGCCACCGTACGTCGCCACTTTGGATGAGGAAGCCCGCTAGTTACACCAATGAACGCACCCTGGTTTAAAATGGGACTGTGCACTGCTGTCTACCCATGGCGCTCAACTGCATTCACATATACGGAGCATTGCAAAAGTGCTCATTCTCCACTATCTGGCTTGAATCACCACTTGACATTGCAATCCAATAGCTTTTATTATGGAATTGCAATATAGTACTGCCAAGTATGGTATGTTACAGTAGGTTTGTTTAGATTGAGATTTTTAACTTGACTATATCAGAGCCATTCCACTTGCGCAGGATTTTCATTTACTTCTCTCCAACAAGGAAAAGTGTGATGGATTTACGGTACCATGAGGGTTCCACAAGGAATTGAAGTAGAGGTACAAGTTGGATAAGAAAGATCTGGGTGGTGCAGTACTGTACATGGGATTGTACAGTTGTAAATCGTTCAACGCCGTCAAGCCAAGCGGTGAAAGCGTGGATTTCAGATGACATCGGGACTCCACGAACGGACGTTGGCCGTCGAGTTTTCCTCACCTCAGTTTGACGGGTGTGAATGAGCCTTGCTGTCAAGTCGAACGATCTGACGGTCAACGAGCTGGCGGTGCGGTTTGGAGGAAAGTGGAGACGTGGCCGAACCACTCGGACCAGGAAAATTTGTTGGGAGGACGGCTACAATCGGCTACACCCTGAAAGATGAACAAACTGGTTACGCAAGAAGGGCCGATGAGAGACCAACAATCGGAATCGACGGTGAGGAAGAGTTTCTGGGTTGTTGGATCATAGTACCCAACGGACTTCCCTCCTGTGCAGAAAAAGTTCCGATTGGCTGCATTCAAGAAAAGGTAAGGTAGAGTACGTTTTAAAAAGGCCTCACAACGGTACAGAGCTCTACTCCACGCTCGCTGGCCTAGTCGGACAAGGGGTGTGTCAGGAAGGTTTCTCCTCCCCTCTCCATGATCCTCCCATGCAATCCCATCCAAACCCATCCCAAATCATGCAGCCTCGGGTCGGGAACTCCACGCAGCCTCGGGAACTGGCACCATTATCAATCCTCGAGATTATCATGCAAATACCTAGAGTACCACGAGGTTGATGTGTGGTCAGAAAACCTCTAGTTATAAAGCAAGACACAAGCCGCTAGATTGTGAAGCAGGAATTGTTACCCGTTTTGCAAGTTTAGTAAGGCATTCTTCCAATAATTGTCTGAGATTACTAATTTGATTAGGCAAAGGGACTGAACAAGCCGTCGACTTAATAACCTCTATTTATTACCGTTTGTTTATTCACCTTTTATTTCAATCGATTGCTGCCACAGCCTGCTAGAATGTACTCAGATTCCTTCCACCGCTCACCCTCAAGCACCTCGTCCGAAGATCTCACGTCTGAAGCGAGCTATGCGACTTCCTCCAGTCGCAGCTCCGTGAGGGTGCCTAAGCTGCGGTCGGGAAAGGTTAGTCCCATTCATTCCTTCGTTTCGATTCTTTCTCTCTCTCTACTTTCCTTACGTTTTTCTTACTCTTCACTTTGGAGACGGCAAAAAGGGTAGCTACTGTGTGACTTCCTCAAGTCGCAGCTCCGTGCGGTGCCCAAGGTGACGGCAGGGAAGGTTAATCCCTTTTCCTTCCTTCTGTTTTGGTTTTTTTTGTTCTCCACTCCTTTCTCCTCCCTCCTTTTTTCATCTATTGTTCAAAATCTATACCACTGGTGTTTCTGTTCCCATCGTCCCTACCCTAATCTTCGGCTCTATAATGCGCTTGAAATCATACATGCCTTGCCAACGAACCTCTTATTGTTCTCCATTTCCCATTCAGTCTCCCAATCCCATGTTTGTTGTATAATTTGACATTAATTCCAGGGTCCTGTGCCCTCGCCGGCGCTTCCCGTCTTTGGAGCATGGAATTTTCAAGCTTCGAAGAACCCGGAAGAGGCGGCGGCAGCGGCGGCGGCGGCGTCCGCAGCCGCGCGCTTGCGCTGCGCGCCGAGCGCGCAGACGTATGACCCTGAGAGGGACGGGGGCGTGGGAAGCGGCGGCGCGGGCTTCACCGCCATGTTCGCGAATAAGGGGAAGGAGAGGCGAGCCATGCGGATTGTGGACGGGAGGATCATGGAGGTTCCCAGTGGGGGTCAGCAGGTATGGAGAGGGTAGGGGTAGGATCTGTCTGATAAGCACTTGGGCATGCATTCACCGCCATGTTTGCGAATAAGGGGAAGGAGAGGTGCGCCATGCGGATCGTGGATGGGAGGATCATGGAGGTTCCCAGCGGGGGACAGCAGGTATGGAAAGCGGGGGTTGGGTATGGCGAGGGGGGGACTGGGTTGGGAAGCGGCGGAGCGGGTTTCACCACCATGTTCGCGAATAAGGGGAGGGAGAGGCGAGCCATGCGGATTGTGGATGGGAGGATCATGGAGGTTCCCAGTGGCGGTCAGCAGGTATGGAGAGGGGGGGAAGGGGATGGAGAGGGGGATTGGTAATGGGGATGGAGACTCGGATTGGGGATGGGAATGGAGAGGGGGATTGGGGATGTTAGAGGGATGGCAGCATGCATTTCTGGTGTGATTGCGAACAAGGGGAGGGACGAAAGAGTTACGAGGATTCCCAGCAGGTGCCAGAATGTATGGAGAGTGGGTATCAGGTATGGCGAGAGGGGTTAGCGATGGTGGGGAGGGTTTGAGAATGGTGAAAAGGGGTCAGTCAGGGATCGGGAGGGGTATTGGGGGATAGGGGGGATCCTGAGGGTGGCCAGAGAGCGATCGCAAACATGGAGAGGGGGGATCATGAATGAGGCATGGAGCTCAACCAGGCCTATGCACTACCTACCCCCTCCTCCGTATTCCACTTGATACCCACTCCCTCCTCTATCCCTCACACCTACCCCCCCCCCTCCCCACCTCCCCCCCCCTTCTCCCCCTCTCCGTCCGCCCCCCCCTTCCCCCGTGTTACCTTTCCAATCTCACCTCCTTATTCTTCTTCCATGTGTCTTGCCTGCTCCTCCTTTCTGCCCTTATCTGCTCGAAACCCCTCTAATTGTCGCATGTGCCATTCCTGTTCCTCCCCTCAGCCTATTTGCTCGAAACCCCTCTACTATCCGCATTTGCCTTTCCTGCTCCTCCACTCTGCCCTTGTTTGCTCGAGAGCCTTCTAAAATTTGCGTGTTCCATTCCTGCTCCTCCCCTCTACCCACCTATCTGAAACCCCTCTAGTCTTTGAATATGCCTGTCCTGCTCCTCCCGCCTGCCTATCTGCTCGAAACCCCTCTAATCTTCACATGTGCCTTTCCTGTCCCTCCTGTCTGACCACCCACCTGCACTGCAGGCCAACGTAACCATCTCCTCCTCCGGATCCTTTTGAGTAGTCGACTCAAAATTCACCCCTCTAATTTTTGCATGCGCCGTTCCTTTTCCTTCCCTCTCCCCACCCACCTGCTCTACAGGCAAACGTCACCATCTCCTCCTCCGGCTCCTCCGAGTCTCGATCACCCAACCGTATCCCTCACATACCACCTGACCATCCTCTCTACCACCTCTACCACTCCCCGCTCTCCGGCTCCCCGGACCGCCCCCGCGAGCCTAACTCCCAGCCTCGGCAGTCGTACCTGCCAGGTCTGGCACGCGAGCCAATCTCGTCCGACTCCCCTGTGCAGTCTATCAGCTCCTCCTCTTCCTCCGCGTTTGCTCCGAATGCTGAAGAAAGGTCCTGGGACCAACCTTCAGCTCTAGCAGGATCGGCAGGATCGGCAGCAGCGGCAGCAGCACAGGCAGCACCACCACCATCATCATCAGCAGCAGCCGCCGCCGCAGCCGCCGCAGCATCAGCAACAGAACCAGCAACCTCTGAGGAACCTCAACAGCCGTCAGCACCCCCACCATCTCTTGCTGAGCTGCAGTCTCTCAGGCTGAGGCTGGCAGCAGGGGAGAATCTTTCCCCTCTGGAAATGCAGCGGCTCACTGACGGCGTTCTTGCACTCATGTCCGCTGCTCCTGCCGCTGCCGCCGCTGCCGTTCCTGCTCCTGCTCCTGCCGTTACTGCAGGTGCTGCTTTTTTTCCCGCGCAAAAGCCAGCTTCGGCAAACGAGCCTGCGGGCTATGCCCAAGCCAGTCCCCCAGCCTATCACTTAGGCTCGTGTGCCTCATCTGATTCTTCCCCAGAGTCTTCCCCTCCCCGTCGGCCCATTCGTTATTACTCCCCAGTTCACCCCTCCACACACCGTCATGACTCTGCTGCTAACCCTTCCTTGCTTTTTGAGGCTCCAGCTTGGGCTCGGGATGCCCCATCGTCCGAAGCTGCGGTCAGGTCCGGTGAAGGTTCGGATGGCCCTGGGGGTGCTGTAGCCGCACCTCAAAACAATGTGTCAGCATCGGTTCCCGAATCTATTTTCCAGCCTCGCACTGCTCAGCAGTACCAAGCAGCCTCGGCAACCCCCATTCCTCATCATCCCGTCCCGAACCTCCAAGATAAGCACACTCCAGTCGGTAGCCCTATCGATAGACACATGGCCGCTCTCTCCTCTTCCGCCACCTCCTCCCCTTCTTTCTCCTCCCCTGCTCTGCCTCCGCCTCCTCCGCCGTACGCCCTCCCTCCGTCCTCCTACAACCACCCCTCCCATGGTCATTCCGACCACGGCCCTTCACCCATGGCTCTGCTTCCGTTGGAACCAGAAGAGGATGATGGGGGGTTCACCTGGGAGGGTTGGTCGGTTACTGGCAGGCCAATCAGGGAGCAGAATGACTCAGCGTGCGCTGCTGCTGGTGTGGCTGGTGTTGCCAGCGGTGCTGGTGTTGCTGGTGTTGCCAGTGCTGTCAGTGGTGCTGGTGCTGCTGGGGATGTGAGTGCTGCTGCTGACTGGGGTTATGGCGGTTCGGGGCCTCCACTCGATATTACCTTTGGCCTTGACGACACTGGCACCACTGCTTGCACTGCCATTAACAGTGTCCCTTCTGCTGCTGCTCCTGAAGCTATGTCTACTTCATCCGATAGCAATGCTTCTGGGGGTGCAGCTGCTGGTGCTGGTGCTGGTGCTGCTGCTGTTGGTTCTGCTCCTGTTGCTGCTGTACGCAGTACAGGCTCACCCGCTATCAGATCAGCGCCTAGGATTCCCTACCAGCTGCCTTACAGCGACTGGGACAACAATGCGCAGCACTCTAAGGTGCGGTTTCAAGGGGGAATCGCCCACGAGGCTGAAGGTGCAGGATACACGAAGATGTTCCAGGACAGACAGGCAAGAAAGAAGATGCAGGGAGAGGGTTTCGGGTTTGGGAACCTTGGAATGCCCGTGAGAGATCAATTCAGGAATACTGGTGCGGAGCAAACTGAGTGGAATGCAGGCGTTGCTGCTGCTCTGGCTGGGATTGGTCCTCCTCCTCCGCCTGCTGGTGCTGCTGGTGCTGCTGGTGCTGCTGGTGCTGCTGGCGCTGCTCTTCCTCCTCCCCCGTATATCGCCCATCCTGCTGCTGCTGCTGCTGCTGGTGCTGCTGGCGCTGCTGCAGGAGGGCATGGCGGGGAACTTTTGAATTATTCTCCGAATCCTGGCATGTATATTCCGCAGCTCAGTACCCCGTTGGGAGGGAATGGTCCTCCGCACGGCACTCACGCATCGGATGGTCATGGGGCAGAACATGGAAGAATTGGGATGCGACATAAGGTGGGTTTCGGCGGTAAAATGTGCTTGGATGTGTTGTGTTGGCATGCGAGCTGGTGTTCTGAGTTCTCTTTTGGAAACGGTTCATGCTGACACCCCCCTTGTTTGGTTGCCTTTGTGTGCAGATAGGAGGCTTCTTTGGATTTGGAAAGAAGTAGAATGTGTGTTCTGTGTATGCTTAGGTTGCTGGTGAAATTGAACCTGTCTTGCAAGCATCTCAAGATGACATTCTTTTTAATTAAGAATTGGAAAGCAAGCACGAATGCAAGCTAATGTGGAGTGTAGTTTCGTTGGGTTTCGCTGGGTTCTGACACCGCATTTAGCGGCCAGGGAAGTCACGTCCTCTCCACTCCATGGGCTTGCGCCGATTGGCGGCCTGCTCTCCCCGCACTGACACGGAATCGGCCGCGCTGCGACAACTCAGTGGTCAAGTTTCTTGTTTGGTCAGCGACCAGGCTCGGCATTCTTGATCTGGGTTGAGGGATAGCCGTGGGATGAATTTCCCCTCGATTAAAGCACCCTTCTGACTTTCATTTGACTCTCCGAACCTTTTCGGAAACCTTCAAAGCCAATCAGAGAGGCCAAAACGAACCACACGCGTCGCGACGATGAATCCACACCTCGCTTCTGTCGCTGGAACCATCGCTTGAAGCACACTGGTCTGAAGCCCCTCACTCTGGCCCAGTTACGCAGCCGCGAACGCCTTGATTTGCGGCCCCGCGCTCAGCATCTCCGTGCTCCTTCCGCATTCCGCGCGGAGCTTGCCTCTCTTCTGCCGGCTTCTCTCCGCTGACTGGTGTCAGCGTCACCCGTCGGCCAGTCACTCACTCCCCCCCGCCCTGGTTCCGCTCTGCATATGAGACCTCCGCCATCCGTTCCCCGCGCGTGCCCAACCCACGCGCCCCGCCAGAACAACCCTGGGGGGTGTTTTCCCTTGAACTTGCCTTTCGCTGGGGGGAAATGCCTGCCCTGTGCCCAACCTAGGGAACTCCACACCACATTCAGATCGAACTGTGGGAAACGCAAGCATCTAGATACTGACTGCAGAGGAGGAAAAGTGGTTTCCTGGGAGCTGAAAACAATCCCCTGTGGTTGTTTCTCTGGGAACTGATTACTTTCTTGGATTGTAAGAGCTTCCTGTCATCGTTCCCCAGAGTTGATTTCTTTCCCTAGACATTATTGATCGGGAGCTAGTCCCGTACGGAGCCATCCATCTTATGTATAGTTCTTAATCTCGTCCACGTCAGACTTCCTGTGTCAGCTCAACGCTGGATACATCTTGCTGTTGCGTCTAACTTTATTAGTCTTGACAAGAAATAGCGTGATAAGATTAAAATAGAAGGCTGACTGCTAGCAATCAGTGATCGAAGATGGGGTACTTCGCGCATCGCGGTGGCTGCGCGCTCTTCGCAGCTCTCGCGATAGCCGCATGCCTGTTGGCCACCGGCGTGCCGTCAGCTGAAGCGTACGATCCGCTAGATCCAACGGGCAACATCACGATCGTGTGGGATGTAACGAGCTGGGCCGGTGACGGTTACATCGCGTGGGTGAAAATGTACAACTATCAGCACTACCGCAAGATTGATCCACCTGGCTGGGCGCTGACGTGGAATTGGACGCACGGCGAATACATATGGGACTTGACGGTAAGCAGTGCTGAGAAGTCTCAAACTACATCGCGTGGGTTAATATGCGAGCGGCAGCAGCAGCACTGGCAACGACGCGGACGTTTGAGGCGATTTTAGCGCCAATTGGTTCGACCCCGTCGCGTGGTCTGTAGTAACGTGGTTCTATTGGTTTCTGTTCGCGCTATCGGTTACGTGCAGTTTTTGCGGTCCAAAATACATGGACGGTCAGACGATTGTAGTGGTCGTAGCTGCCGCGCATTACATTCCTTTCCGCACTGTCTTGCCCTCTCATATCCCCGCTCCCCCTGCTCCCTTTGTCCTTCTCTCCATTGGCTTATTCTTACCCCCTCTCTCTGTCTCTCTTACCTCCGGGCTCACTCTTCTCCCTCACCTTCCCCGCATCTCTCCCTTACCTCCACCGCTCGTGCGCTCAGGGAGCCGTGGCGACGAAGCAAGGCGACTGTTCTAAGCTGCAGTTCCCCGGCGGCAAGATCCCGCACAGGTGCGCCGCTGGTTATTGATGATTATGATATTGAAAATTTTCATTATCCTTTTCTAGTCGTCTCGTTGCGGCGTAAAAATCCTCCCCTCATCTTCTTCCCCCGCCCCGCTTATCGGACACTCCGCTCTCCTCTCCACCCTTGCCCCAACCTCGCCCTCCACTCTCTCGCCACCTCCGCCCCCCTCCGTGCCCCTCCGCGCAGCTGCATCCAGTAACCGGTGGTGATGGATCTGATGCCGGCCTGGAGGCCCCTCCCCTCATCCCCGTCCGCTCCTCTCTTATTCGCCCCCACTCCCCCTTCCCCCGCCCCCGTCACCCCGCTTCTCCCCCGCCCCCCCGCAGCTGCATGCAGTACCCGGTGGTGATGGATCTGATGCCCGCGGACCCGTTAAAGCCGGAAGCGCCGGGCGTGCTGAAGAACTGCTGCAAGGCGGGGTACCTCGGAGCCAACAAGACCGACCCCGGGCACTCGCTTGCCGCATTCATGGTAAGCGGCGCTCCCGGCAACGTTGTTGCTGGTAACTAGGTACACGTAGCTCCGCCTGACGGTATCCTTGCGCGTGTTGAAGAACTGTTGCAAGGCGGGGTGCCTCGGTGCCAACAAGACCGACCCCGGGCACTCGCTCGCCGCATTCACGGCGCTGCTGTGGCCTCTCCTCCCCACTCCCCTCCCCCTCTCCCCCCTCCCCCCCCTCTCTTCCCCCTTTCTCCATTCCTCCCCCACTCCCCCCCCGACTCCCACCAACCCCGACCCCTCACTGCTGCATCAACTCCTACCCAGACCAAACTTTCCTTACCCCACCCCCCCTTCCGTCTCTCCCCCTTTCTTACCCTACTTTCCCCAGATCAACGTGGGGAATGCCACAAGCACGGTGTGGAACTTCGTTCCTCCCGGCAATTTCAGCCTAGGGGTTGACGGATACAAGTGCACAGACCCCTTCCAAGTCAACTCTACCATCTACACCGACCCTACCACGCGTCGGGAGACCCAGGCCCAAGTGACCTTCCACATCGTCTGCACCTACAGCTCGATTCAGAAACGGGACCCGCCGAAATGCTGCGTGTCTTTATCCTCGTTTTACAATGACACGATAATACCGTGCGCGAGCTGCGCGTGCGCGTGCGGGAACTACTCGTCGAGCTCGATTGTGTGCGTGCCGACCGGGGGCAAGGTGCCGTATCTGATGTCGACGCCCAGTGGGGATGGGCTGGAGCTGAAGACTGATAAAACGGCCGTTGAGTGCAGCCCGGATGGATGCCCCATCAGCATTCACTACCACTTCAAGGTGAGGCGCGGGGGAGAGAGGGAAAGAGGGAGCGAGGGAGAGGGGGAGAGGGGGAAACAGGGAGAGGGGGGGAGGGGGAAACATGGAGTGGGGGAGAGGGGGAAACATGGAGTGGGGGAGAGGGGGAAACAGGGAGTAGGGGGTGTGTGAGCGTGCGTGTGCGGGAACTACTCGTCGAGCTCGATTGTGTGCGTGCCGACCGGGGGCAAGGTGCTGTATCTGATGTCGACGCCGAGTGGGGATGGGCTGGAGCTGAAGACTGATAAAACGGCCGTTGAGTGCAGTCCGATGGGTGCCCCATCAGCATTCACTACCACTTCAAGGTGAGGCGCGAGAGGAAAGGGGGAGACCGGTAGAGAGGTAGAGACTAAGAAAAGGAGAGATGGAGAGGAAAGGGCAAGTGGAGGGTAGGTTCAAGGTGACGGGAAGGGGGAGAGATGGAGAAATGGAGAGAAACGAGTTATCAAGTGGCGGGTATGTGGGTGAGTGTGAGTGAGTTCGGACGGGTGCCCCATCAGCATTCACTATTTCAACTTTGATTGTTCCTGTCCCCTTGCGTGCCTTGTCCCTTGTACTCTCTGTTGTCGCATGCAGCAAAATTACGAAGGTTTCTGGAGGTCCAAGATCACGATCATCAATAGGAGCCTGTGGGACAACCACACCAACTGGAACATTGTTGTGGAGGTATGTGGATAGTGGAGATGGGTGGAAGGGGGGGTGGTTTTGACCTGTCTGCCTGTGCTGATCATTGATTGTCTCCCCTGTGACCTGTCTGTGTGTCTGTTTCCCTTCGTTGATCTCCCTGTCTGTCCTTCACAGCACCCAAACTTTGGCAACCTGACAGATGTGTTCAGCTGAATTAAGAAATCTCAGTAACCCGCTGTCTCCTCCCTGCCCTGTCTATCCCTCGTGTCTGTCCCTCTTGTCCCTCTCTACCACCCGCAGCACCCGAGCATGGGCAATCTAACGGACGTGTTCAGTTGGAAGGCGGAGAACATCCTGCCCTATGGTGTCAACAACACAGCCATCTTCTGGGGCATGGCGCAATACTTCTCTCTGTCCCTCTCCCTCTGTCCATCTGTGTGTCCCTCTGTCTGTCCCCTACAGCACCCGAACATGGGCAATCTGACGGACGTGTTCAGTTGGAAGGCGGAGAACATCCTGCCGTACGGAGTGAACAACACGGCCATTTTCTTTGGCATGAAGCAGTACAATGACGTGCTCATGCCAGCTGGCAAGGGCGGCAACGTGCAGTCGGAAATGCTCTTTGCCAAGACGTCAGAGTTCACGTTGGAAGACGGATGGGTCTTCCCTAGGGTGAGTTTTTGGGGGCTTATGTTTATCATACTGGGATTCCGTAAGCCCTTTTTGAAGATGGGAGAGAGGAGAGGGTGGGAGGTAGGGGGGAAGCTGGGGAAGGTTTTGATTAGATCTAATGTGTGTTTGTTGTTTTGCCTTTGCAGAAAATTGTTTTCAGTGGCGAGGAGTGCGTGATGCCAGAGGACATTCCAGCATTGCCTGTGAAGCCTGCGCAAAGACAATCCTCATTGCTGGCTGCCATCTTCGCTGGAGCTGCTGGTTTCCTAGCCTTGCTCATGCTTGCGTGAGCTTAGTTCTTATTTGTTGCAGATAGGTTGCTGTTAGCTTCTTGAAGCTTCTTTGGTCAAACTCCAAAGGTGAAAATAGAATGAGGTTGTAGTGGTGAAGAGCAAATTTGTAGGCGCGCATCACTTGCTTGTTCAATTGCTACTAGTGAATTTTCCTAAAGGAGGACTTCCCGGAATTAGAGGAGCATCGCAAACAGTGGCAATCCATCGTGGAACGTTTTTTTTTGTTTTTTTTTTTTTGAAATTGACATATACATTTATGAGGACAATGCATACATCAAAAGCAGTCGTAACTGAGCATGAGGGCACTGCACCATGCACTGCCCAGTAATGCATCTAGGGCGGCAGGAACGCCCGCTTTGGCTTGTTCCAGATAGCAGCGAAGTTTGTCGACCACTTCCATTTTTTGTCACCTGTCTCCCTTATCCTCGCCAGCATTTTTTGCTCCGCTTCGAAAACACTCCTGACCCGTTTTCCCTTCCCTGATGTCCCTGGCCGCAAGCTTTTGGCACCCATTGCTCTCGTGTACACTCTCGCGTGTAGCCTAAAAGCCGACCCAATCCTCCTGAGAACCCTCCGGGCTCTGAATTTCTGCCCTCGGAAAGTTGCTTCACATCTCTCCACCCACAGCTGATGAAAAGTAATCGATGTGAGGGTAGCCTCCGGGAAATCCGACGCCGTTCCGGTTTCCTGGAACAAGAGGTCCCCCAGCGAGGCAGTTGTCTTCCCTGGATTGAGCATGCGCAGAGCACGACGGAGCCCTGAGACAACTGGCTGAATTCTCGGGCAGGAGAAAAGACAGTGTTCGTGCGTTTCCTCGACTCCGCAGTATGGGCATTTTGGCTTGCAGCTGAGAAAATCAACTCGCTCCCCGACCTGAAGGTTCAGGTTATGCACCCGTGTGAGGACATCTCTCGGTCGGCTCGGGATGGCCAGCGAGTTACGTGTGCGAATGATTCGCTGCCAGTCAATCTTGCCGCACCATCGACCAGACCACTTTGCCTGCTTCGCTAGGACTGCATCGGGTTTGGTCCACACCTCCCTCATCCGCTTCAGAGAAGCTGCTCGCTCTCCGTCAAAAATTGCTGACCGGAAAATTGAAGCCGTGGCCCCGCGACACCCCCCTGCTGTCACCGCTGTAACCGCTTCTTTCTCCCCTCCTCCTCCAGCCGTGCCGTTGGGGATCAGCAGGGTTTTCCACTCCTCCGGGGCTGCAGCAAAGGCTTTGAGAGCCAGCCGAGCAGAGTCCTTGCCCCTCAACTCTTTTTCCAAGACATCCATGTCCTTAACTGCTGCTTCGCCTGAGGGCGATGTGGTTACCAGGTCCCCCATGCGAGTATCCCAGAGCCCTTTCGCCTCCTTCTGCCCGCCCACTGGGTTAGTGCCGTTCAGCAGCACGTTCCTGTTGAAAATAATTCTTTCCAGCGCCACCTCCTCCTTGCTACTGACTTTCCCTGTGTCAGCGAGAGGCGATTTCAGGAAAGTTTCGCAGGTCTGCTTCCACCGCTCCCCGTGTCCCGGCCAGTGCTTCAACACCTTTTCGTGCGCCGTGAAAGTGTCTTCTCCCATCGGGAGCCCCGCCGCTTTAAAACCAGGGTGCACATTCAACGCGGTTCGGCTTGAGATGTTGGGAAGGGGGTTTGGAGAAAAACAGTGATTGGCTCACGAGGGGCGACAAAAAAATGATTCCGCTAGAGCTTCGGGCATTTCGTAGGTGGCGGGAGGGGGTGAAATGGCAAGTGTGGGTGAAACCGAATGGCGGGAGGGATGAAACAGATTGGCGGGAGGGGGGGGAAACGAAATTGCGGGGGAGGGGGGAAACAAAATTGCGGGGGAGGGGGGAAACGAATTTCGACGGGGAGGGGGAAATGAAATTGCGGGGGCGTGGGGAAACGAAATTGCGGGGGAGGGGGGAAACGAATTTCGACTCGAAGGGGTTGAAAGCACACCTCGTAACCCACTCAGTCAAGGGATAACCTTTGATGCACATTCAGCTGAATGTGCACCCCGGTTTTAAGCATGATTTCTTTTTTCTTGCCGTTCCCCTCCGACAGGAGTCCAGCGATTCTCCTGGCCGCAAGACAAGCCATGAGGACCTCCGGGTCCAGTACTCCCATCGTGGAACGTATTGAATGTGAGCCACACACATTTGAAGTGTGGCCACTGGCCAATCGTAGGTGCAGTATTTGATGACGTTTCCAGTCGCTTCTGTCCGGCAGCAGGAAATTTCGAGGTCAGCTCAGCTCTTGCCTCCTTCCTTCCTGACCGACAGGGGCGGCAGCCGCTGCACACGAATGGCCATTGGTTGAAGCTGTTGTCACGACGAACTGAGGATGTTTGCGAACTCTTTGTAACATCCACTTGTTCTCGCCATGGTCGAAGTTCCAACCTCATTCAACTCTCAGCTATCGATGACTGAAGAAAATGCACCTGCTCATTGTCCAGAGTCAACCACACTAAAACACACTGTAGCGGACTGCATTGCAGAAAATCCTGTGTAACCCATCTTGAAATCCAAGTTCTTTCGAAATGAATTACACCACCTCCTCTTGGAATTGGATTCTGAGGGGAGCTGCTGATTGCTCTCTGTTAGCTCTGATGAAATCAAGGAGGTCAGTGTAAGAAGGAAGTGCTCTTTCAGTGCGGTCAGGGACGGTCGTGATCGAGTTTCCGATTCTACACTCGTGATCGCCGGTATATAACGAGTGGGGTGGGGATCCTGCGATTGCTTTTGCTGTATCTATGGAGCTGAGCCACGTCAGGCTTTAATTACACGCTGAATCCTGCAATCACGGCTTTACCTTGACAACTGACGATTCAGCTGACATTCAGTTGACAGGCAAATATCACACAGGAACTTGACCTCTGCTCGACGGCGAATCCTTCAAAAGCTCGACGGAACCGGCTGCGTGGTTGTTCGTCCTGCGTCCTCTGCGTGTCTATTTCGTCCTGCGTCCTCTGCGTGTCTAGTGCGTTCTGCATCCAATGGATCCGGAGCTTCTTCCACGTGTCCAGCCGCTGCCAGAGGAAGAGGAGCAGCAGGATCGGCGGAGCTACAGACACAGCTTTTATGGTCCGTGCTTAGAATTTTCTCAATCATGCCGTTTCTTAGTCGACTTAGAAGTCGCCAGGGAGCAACAGACATAGCGTCTGTGATCTGTCGCGCGCCATTTCCCATCTCATGTCATCACATTCATTTATCTTGAAGCTTCGTTTCCCCTGGTTTTTTTTCTTATCGTTATCTTACTGAAGGGCTGTTGTTGACGTTACTGAGAGCGTCCCATTCAGGCTGGAAATTCTTTCCTAAACTTTCGATTTTCAAGGCTTCTACTGACATTGCTCGCTCTAGCCTTTTGCACCTGACCGGATGGCTCTTCTGAACGTCTTGGTTCTTGTTCTTAAACTTTTTTCATCTTCAGGGCTCTGCAACCTCACAAAAGTGGAATTTCTTTCTTCGTCCTGCCCAAATCGTTGTATATCATTCAGGGCTGCTCTTGACGCTGCTTGCTCTGGGTCTCTGCACCCTGACCGGAGTCGCGCTCCAGAGCGGTTGGTCTCCCGGCTCGCTCCGCCTCGTGGACGAAATCCTGACCGAGTCCAAGCCTCTCTGGCAGGCTCGGTTACTGTCCAGCTGGCAGCCTCGGGCGAGTGGTTCAGTGGTGGAAGGCCCGGCAGCAGCAGCATCAGCAGCAGAAGCAGCATCGGCAGCAGAAGCTGCAAAATCAGCAGCAGCAGCAGCAGTGGTGGAGGCAGATCATGCAGCAGTAGCTTCAGAGGACCCCCGATGTTCCGAGATCGGAAAGAAGATTCTGAAATCCGGCGGGAACGCGGTGGATGCAGGCATCGCTACAGTGCTGTGCATGGGCGTGGTGAACCCCATGGCGAGCGGCGTTGGTGGCGGTGCGTTCATTCTCATCCGCTCCCCCAACGGGTCTGCTGAGTTCATTGACTGCCGAGAGACAGCCCCTGCTGCTGCTCACCAGGTACAGGGCGTTATTTTCCTCGTATTTGGGATGGTTTGGGTACTTGGGCTGGTTGGGTTCATAGGGATGATTGGGATGGTTGGGGCAGTAGGGATGATTCGGGTGATTGGAGTGACCAGCATCGCTACAGTGCTGTGCATGGGCGTGGTGAACCCCATGGGGGTGGTTGGGGTGGTAGGGGCAGTAGGGGTGATTGGGGGGAATGCGGTGGATGCAGGCATCGCTACAGTGCTGTGCATGGGCGTGGTGAACCCCATGGCGAGCGGCATTGGCGGCGGTGCGTTCATTCTCATCCACTCCCCCAACGGCTCTGCTGAGTTCATTTGCCGAGAGACTGCCCCTGCCGCAGCTCACCAGGTGACTAGGTTGACCTCCGATTCAGGGCTACTTGGGGGAAGGTGGGTGAGTGTACTCGTGGTGTGGTTGCTTGGGGTGGCCCTGCTGTGCGTTCATTCTCATCCGTTCGCCCAGCAGCTCTGCTTAGTTCATTGACAGCCGAGAGACCGCTCCTGCTGCTGCCCACCAGGTACTACTTGAAGTGCTGTGCATGGGCCAGGTGAACCCCTCAACCCTCTTCTTCTTCTCCCCCCTCTTCCTTTCCACCATTTCCTTCCCACAGGACATGTTTGAGGGGCACGAGGAGGATATTAGAAAGGGAGGACTCTCAGTGGGAGTACCTGGGGAGATTGCAGGGCTTTACCTGGCGTGGCAGCGGCACGGCAGGCTGACGTGGCGCGACCTCGTCACGCCAGCCGCTGACATGGCAGAGAGTGGCTTCCACGTGGCAGCTTACCTGGCAAACTCCATTGCCACCTACAACGCCACGATCCTCTCAGACCCTGGATTAAGCGCTGTTTTCGCCCCAGGAGGGAAGCTTCTGAGAAAAGGCGACACCTGCTACCGCCCCGCCCTAGCAGCCACTCTTAAAGCCATAGCAGAAAAGGGTCCAGATGCGTTGCATCGAGGGGAGCGGGCGAGGCAGCTAGTAGAAGAAATCCAGGCAATGGGAGGGATACTGACTGAGCAGGACTTGGAGAATTTCCAGGCGCAAGTGAGGGAGGTGCTTGTGGGGAAGGCGTTTGGGCTGGAATTTCTGATGGCTCCCCCGCCGTCGTCAGGGGGAGCGGTGATTTTACAGGTGTTGAAGATTCTCCAGGGGTATGATCTGCCCCTGGCATCAGCGGGAGTGTTGGGATTGCATCGGGTGGTGGAGAGCTTGAAGCATGCGTTTGCGCTGCGCATGCACCTGGGGGATCCCGCCTTTGTCAACGTCACTGACGTTATTCGAGGTATGATTGCTATTGTTATTATGCACCTACATAGAGAGAAGAGCCTCAAGCATGCGTTTGCCCTGCGCATGCACCTGGGGGATCCCGCCTTTGTCAACGTCACTGACGTTATCCAAGGTACTGCTAGTATCCGAGTCAGAAGTTGATTCAGTTACACCGTGCACCTTTTGAGACCCCTCAGAAGTCAGTTTCACCGTGCTTGTTCTGTGTTTTGTGCCCTTTTGAAACCTTCCCTTCAATCTTGTGTTTAGTCCTGTAACCACTTCTTCAATCTCCCCTCGTTCATTCCTTTTCGTCCTTATCCCTGCGTCCAGACATGCTTTCAGACGAGTTTGCCGCCCGGCTTCGATCCGCCATCCACGACAACATCACCTTCCCACCCGAACACTATGGCCACCCCGAGGACGAATCAGACGAGGACAAAAAACGACACCCGCACCGCCACCAACTATACACCCAGCTAGACGACCACGGCACATCACACACATGTGTGGTGGATCAGGATAGAATGGCTGTATCCATCACATCTACTGTAAACGGCCCCTGGGGAGCGGGCAGGATGGCGGTCCAATCAGGAATTGTTCTCAACAACGAAATGGCAGATTTTTCGCTGCCCGACCGGCCAGGCAGGATCCCTATGCCGTTTGAGCCGCCGCCCGCTCCGGCTAATTTTATCCGGGCAGGAAAGAGACCGTTGTCGTCGATGGCGCCGGCTATTTTGCTGCAGGACGGGCAGCTGAAAGCTGTGGTTGGTGGAGCTGGAGGAAATGTGATTATTTCGGCTGTTCTGCAAGTGATCCTGCACTTCTTTTGCCAGGGTTATTCACCCTTCAAGGCTGTCGATGCCCCTCGGATCCACCACCAGGTGAGTTTGGCATGGCATCCACATGCACATGCACACATGCACATGCACATGCACATGCACATGCACACATACACATGCACATGCACATGCACACATGCACATGCACATCCACATCCGGCTTGCCTTAATGTTCTCCCCTCCGGCTGGCCAACTCGTTTGCCTACTCTCCATCTTCCCAACCCAGCCCACTCCACAGTGCCTCACTCACTCTTGAAGCCTAATAACTGCTAATAGCTGCTTCCAACATTCCCCCCTTTTTCTCTCACCAGCTGCTCCCCAACACGGTCTGCTACGAGGCGGGTCACGCTCTCGACGACGGCGAGCGCATCTCATCTCAGTGGTCAATACGTCCCATACCCCACACTCCCCCTTTCTCCCTCCAGCTGCTGCCCAACACGCTCTTCTACGAGGCGGGTCACGCTCTCGACGACGGCGAGCGCATCTCAGTGCCCAACGCAACCCTCGCTGCCCTGGCCCGCCGAAACCACACCACCTTCCCCATTGTCTTTGGCGGCTTCGTTCAGTTTATCGTGCAAGACTTGGACGGCCCTGCCAGTGCTGCACTGAAAGACCTGGACGGCCCTGCCAGTGCTGCTCTGCAGAAGCTTGATGGTCCTGGCAGTTCTGCTCATCCTGCTGCTCTGCAGAATCTTGATGGTCCTGCCAGTGCTGCTCTTCAGAAGCTTGATGGTCCTGGCAGTGCTGCTCACCCTGCTGCACTGAAAGACTTGGACGGCCCTGCCAGTGCTGCTCTGCAGAAGCTTGATGGTCCTGGCAGTGCCGGGCAAATGCTGGACTCTGCTGCAGCAGGTCCATCTCGTGGGCCCAGCAGGAAACTCATTGCAGACCAGGAAGCAGCCAGGCTTGCGCCAACTGAGCCCAGCTTTCCGCCTCCGCTTCTTGGGCGGCTCACTGCAGTGAGCGACCCGCGCAAGGATGGTGGCCCTGCTGGGTACTGATTATGGCAAGCTAAGATTCAGATTCTGTGAGAAGTATTGAGGCGCCTCTAGAATCGTCTGTTGGCCGGCTCACTGGAGTGAGCAACCCGAAGGACGGTGGTCCTGCAGGGTACTGAGTACTGACTGGTGAGGACAAGATGAAACCCTGATGCAGGACTATGGATTGTTGCTTGCTGGGAAGCTCACTGCAGCGAGTGACCCGCGCAAGGATGGAAGCTCTGTTGGGTATTGGGGTATACACTGGATACTGTAGAAGGATAGTGATTCTGTCTGCGTCATAGATAGTGGTGTACTTAAGCCTTTATTTTATTCGATACCTAAGAGTACACAGATGGTGGTTGCACTTCCTGTGGAGTGCAAGGCAAAAAAAGTAACCTCACGCGTACAGGATTAGCCTGATCTCATCAGAACCTTCCCCGTCAGTAGCCCAGAGTGTCCCGCAAGCCCATTAGAGCATCCACAGTATCACCTGCAAACTTGCGTGCAAACAGAAAGCAAGGAGCAAGCTCACCAGCCACCCTACAAGGCCCAGGAAATGACACCTCCTGAAGGCTCACCGCTTCTGAAACTGGAAAATGCCTCCTCTGCATCCTCTCTATAAGCTCCCTTGTTACACCACTGCCTGAATACATGGTTGGATGCTCGGAATTGTAAGACGGCCAATCCACGTGCGTGACGGAGTGGGGCTCTATGCCAGCCCGATCATACCCCCAGACAACAGTCTGAAGGTAACTCTCATCGGGATATTCCCCCCTACCCCTGCCGAAAACCACGTAATACTTCATGTTTTCGACCACTAGGAAAGAATGTGGTCGAGTCAGGACAAACCATTGTGACCCCTTTTTCAGCTGCCACGGATGCAGCACCTGACGTGGCACAAATATCCAGAAATATCTCGGGAATCGCCACCAGCGAAGGGTGGGAAGCACCGCAAGAAAGCTCCTATCTCCTGTAAAGAGATAGGTGTAGACGAAGTTAAAATGGCGAATGGGAATGCACGCTTCTGATACAACCACAAACCTCTGATTGGCTGGGTCTTGTAACGCAGACGCTAGGAGCCTACGAGTGGCTTGGATCATTGATGGCATCCCCCTTATAATCCTCAGGCCTGGAATCTGCGTTCCCCAAAATACACTGCCATTCCCAACATGGGAATTTACGCTGAAACCCTCTGTGCCAGCATGCACATAGATCGAAGCTCGGTCCATATTCTCATGGAAAAACGCCTCCCATAGGGGTCTCAAGGGGAGAGGCCCTCTGGTGAGAAACAAGAAGGCGATCTTAGGAGGTCTGCCGTTGGTGGTGGGATTGTAATCAACGGTTCTGAATGGCAGTGCCTTCTGCTGTGGGCTGCTTTCGTTGCTGCTTCCTCCTTGGAGCGCATGAATTGTTATCCGGCTGCTTCTGCTGCTTCTTCTCCCCTCGAGTGCCTCAATTGATATCCGACTCAGCTCTGACAAACTCTGCAATTCCACATCGTATCTCTCCTCTTTTACACCCATGTGAGTCAAAATCCTCTCCTCTCCCTGGCCCAATTGAGTGAGATCCCCATCCTCCTCTCCTTGTCCCCCTTCAGAGTAACCTCGTCTTCGCACCGACGCTGGCAAATCTGTGATGGGAAGGAGCTGGTTCACAGGAGGCCTTAGCTGCATCTCCGTTTGAATAGCCCTGCTGACGAGGTAACTGTCCACGTCATCACGGAAAACGTACGGCCCGAAATACATCGTGAATGTGAGATAAAATCCAACCACCGACGTGCAGTAGATAAGGATGGAGAAGAGGGAGAAGTAATCCCGGAGAGTGCGAGACGGGGGTTGTCTGGAGGAACGGAGCTGGCCAGAAGGCCGGCGGGGTGAGCTGCTGCTGGGAGAATGATCTGCTTCTGATGATGCCAAAGGGTCTTTCTCAAAATGTTCCTGCAGTGGCTCATCTTCAGGGGTTCGCAGTGGCTCTTCTGATAATCCCAGTGCTTCATCTGATGATTCCCGTGGGACTATCTCAGGGATGATTGAAGGGATTGCGTACTCGTTATAGGACAACCCATCAGGAGACTGATAAGAGGCTTGTCTTGAAAATCCGTGCGTATCGTCTAGCATCTCGCCTCGCACTTGCTGCCAATGGTGCTCAGACTTCTGACCGGTAGACGGCCTTGTATTGGACACTCATTCATTCGTAGTTAGCTAAAAAAAATAAACGTGACTAACGAAAACGGACGGCAAAATCATGAAACGTTTGACGTGAAGTCACGTTAGCTCTAAAGGCTATTCGTCTCAATTTCGGACGCGGAAATTCGGCTGGCTTACTAAGTCAAGTATGGACTAATAAATGAAGAAGGAGCGTGTTCTGCGGACGAACGATCACCTATCCAGAAGGTTTGTGGCTCAGGGCGTGGTCAGGTCGTGTGTCTCCTGTACGTTCTCTGCGGTCTAATTCGTTGCGTCACGGTGCAAAACGGTGAACATCAAACCTGACCACACCCTCCTGGGATAGTCCAGCCCGCTTCGCCTGCATGTTTGATCAGGGCGACGTCAGGCTGTACATTTCTCACATTTACAGTTCTTGTATCGTGGCTCTGGACGGTTCCACACGATGGAGAACGGTTTCCGATATTTACCGTTTTGCACCGTGACGAATCGATGTTGACCGCAGTGAGCGGAAAGAACGTTGTACAACCTGATCAATAGTGGCGTTCGCCAAACCCGCTTGGAAGGGAGGGGGCTCGCCAAGCTCGGTCGGAGTGGGCGAGGGGATCAAGAAACTCCCGAGGAAGGATCGTGCAGTATGACGTTTCTGGACGGTCCTGGAGTACGCTGTTCGCTGTCTGCTGTTCGCTGTCGGCAAATACATGACAGCAGCTCGCTAGAAAATATGGTAAAATCAGGTGCAAGTGTATGCAATGACGAACGCTGGTTCTTTCACATGTATTTGCCGACCTAGAATTGTGAAACCCATTACACAATCATAAGCAAAGCACTTGTTGCTGCGTGCCCTCAGAACAACACCAGGAGGGCAAAGCAGAAGTAGGCCACGATACACATGAAGGCAATGAGTGCTCGCACGTCGTCCGCTTGTGGGACAATGGCCACCAGGAGAGACGCTGCTGTTCGCGTGCACCACACTATGGCCACCGCTGCTGCCACTGCTGTGAGCACTCCCCTGCAGCAAGCACGATGCAAGGCACAAATGGGTAGACGAGCAAGTCAGAAATAGGTGGTGGGTTGCCTTCTGGAACTATTGCCACCAGGAAAGACGCTGCTGTTCGCGTGCACCACACTATGGCCACCGCTGCTGCCACTGCTGTGAGCACTCCCCTGCAGCAAGCACGATGCAAGGCACAAATGGGTAGACGAGCAAGTCAGAAATAGGTGGTGGGTTGCCTTGTGGAACTATTGCCACCAGGAAAGACGCTGCTGTTCGCGTGCACCACACTATGGCCACTGCTGCTGCCACTGCTGTGAGCACCCCCCTGCCACCAATGTGTGACTTATTGAGGATTTACTCAGCGATGTGTGACTTATTAATGAGTTGATAACCAATGTGTCACTTATTGATGAGTTACTAACCAATGTGTTTATTATATACTTATTTGTGTTACACACCTGCGGGGGAAGAAAATAGAGATGGCGGAGTAGAGCACCATGGGCAGCAGCCCATAGCTGTGTAACTTGCTCACCAGTTACTATTCATGTGTTGCAATAATGTCGTGTGTTACACACCTGCGCGGGAAGAATATAGAGATGGCGGAGTAGAGCACCATGGGCAGCAGCCCATAGCTGTGTAACTTGCTCACCAGTTACTATTCATGTGTTGCAATAATGTCGTGTGTTACACACCTGCGCGGGAAGAATATAGAGATGGCGGAGTAGAGCACCATGGGCAGCAGCCCATAGCCGAAGATGGAGCAGCAGCGGTACAGGTCCAGCCCTGCTTGGGACGACCTGTGGAATGAAATGAGTGGAGAGTGGGGAAGAGTGGGGAAGAGTGGTGGAAAGTGGTGGAGAGTAGTCGAGAGTGCGGAAGGAGCCTTTCAGTTGATCGAAGATGGAGCAGCAGCGATACAGGTCCAGCCCTGCCTGGGACGACCTGTGGAATGGCATGAGTGGAGAGTGGGGGAGAGTGGTGGAGAGTGGCCGAGAGTGCGGAAAAGGCCTTTCCAGTTTATTTGAAGATGGAGCAGCAGCGGTACAGGTCCAGCCCTGCTTGTGCTGAGCTGTGCGGTACAGTGCGCCTTTCAATTGATCCAGAGATCCATTGCCAGCGTGGGAATTGGAATGAGGGAGGGAGAGAGGTAGGGTGGAGTGAGGAGGGAAGAAGAGTGAGGAAGCTACACAAGGGAAGTATTCAAATAAGCTTATAAAATAAAAGGAGAGAGAGAGCACTGCAGTCGAATCTACACTCGTTGCCCCACTCACTGCCCACCTCACTCCCACTCACTACAAACCTCACTCAACAAGCAGGTTGAAAACGGTGTAAATGAAAGTCGACCCTGCCAGCACAAACTCTCGTGCCCCTCGTTACACTCAGGGCGCACCTTGCTCCCACGAGCAGGTTGAAAACGGTGTAGATGAAAGTTGATGCCACCACGGACCACCCGAGCACCACCCCAAAGTGGACCTTGGCGTGCTGCCATGAGAGCAAGGCACAACGGGCAGCAGTGGCACGGGAACAGCAGAAGAGAGTGGAACGGGGATTCACAACAATAGATGAACGTCGATGCCACCATGGACCACCCGAGCACCACCCCAAAGTGGACCTTGGCGTGCTGCCATGCGAGCAAGGTAAAGGGTAGCAGCAGGGGTAAGCCAGGCAAACGAGAATCCTAAGAGGCCTCTACTGCAAGTAGATGAAAGTCTATGCCACCACGGACCACCCGAGCACCACCCCAAAGTGCACCTTGGCGTGCTGCCATGCCATGAGAGCAAAGGAAACGAGCAGCGGTGACACACGAATGGGGAAGGGGGTGGAAGAACGGAGTTTCACAACAATGAATGAACGTCGATGAACACCTTTTGCTATGAATTCCAAAAGTCGCACTGTGAGCTGGCAGAGGCCGTAGAGCATGCAGAAGATGCTTCACTGCAAGTGGTGTCGCATCACGAGAGCACTACAGTTCACAGCAAGTTGTACCATGAGCTGGCAGAGACCAAAGAGCACGCAGAAGATGAGCGGGCCGGACAGGTCCCCATCATCATAGAGGTCGATGTTGATTCGGATGGGGTTCAGAGCCGAGGCGGTCTTTCTCAGGATTTGTGGGATGTTGATTCCCAGCTCTGTAGGAAGAGGGAGGCGAAGGGGGCCAAGAAAGGAGGCAAGAAGGGAGGATGAGAGGGCGGTGAAGGGAGAAAGGACACATGACATAAAGACCCACAGAGGAGCACGCAGAAGATGAGCCGGCCGGACAGGTCCCCATCGTCATAGAGGTCGATGTTGATGCGGATGGGGTTCAGAGCAGAGGCGGTCTTTCTCAGGATTTGTGGGATGTTGATTCCCAGCTCTGTTGATGGGAAGATGCAGATGGGGGGGGACGGGAAAAGCGGTGGGCGGTCCATCACATGGGGTCCCCATCCCATCGTCGTAGAGGTCAATGTTGATTCAGACGGGGTTCAGAGCCGATGCTGTCTTCCTTAGGATCTGCGGGATGTTGATTCCGAGCTCTGTTGGGAATGAAGAGGAGGTGAGGTGAGGTGAAGGGAGAGAGCACATGACATAAAGACCCCATTACATTACAAAGTGGTAGAGGTCCATGCTGATAAAGAATCAGGTTCTAGCTTCTAGCCATACAGCTGCCTGCCTGTTGAGCAACGATGAGTGGACTCAATCGTCACATCACCTTATAACGAGTTACCTTCCAGCAGAGGCAGCTCGTCTTCAAACGAGTTTTGGCCGAACAGCCCACCAGACCCGTCGTACAGACTGCTTAAGCCGCATCACCTTATAACGAGTTATTACCTTCCAGCAGAGGCAGCTCGTCTTCAAACGAGTTCTGGCCGAACAGCCCGCCAGACCCGTCATACTGCGACTGGCCTCCGAAGCGAGGGCCTGCCTGAGGGGGAGGCGCCAGGGCACCTGCGAGACACGAAGGTGGGAGAAACGAATGACGAAAGAAAAGAGTTGTGACAAAACGTATTGTGACAGTAACGGGCGTGGGATCCAGACAGCTGCGAGACATGGGGTGCGAGAAACGAGAAACGAAAAACGAATCGTGACAAGCGTACTGTGACATTAACGACCGGGGATAAAGGAAATGCGTGTTATAACCCCACCAGCTCCTGGGCTTGCAATCATTGGCTTACTAGCCATATCACCGCCACAACTAGCACCGCCCCTTTATAATCACAAATCTTCCGTTTAATACACTCACTGGGCTTGCTCATATCGAAGGACATAAACGCCATGTTGCCGCCTGGTGGACCACCAGCTGCCGGGCCGAAGCCCGAACCTGGACCCGAACCTAGGCCTGGGCCGAAGCCCGGGCCCGAACCTAGCCCCGGACCTGGACCCATTCCTGGCTGCGGCTGGAACTGCATGGGTTGCTGCTGATGGGCTCCTTGTGGCCGTCGATGCTGGGGGAAGGTGAGATTGGGGTTCGTATCGAACGACAGAGAGACATCGTCTTGAGGTCCCATCGTGAAAGACGATGAATGATTTCAAGGGGTTTCGAGGGGTCACTGGAGATTACTGAATCGAGATTCGCGTGTGAGTCCTCTTCCTTGGGTCGATCTGCTAAAGGAAAGGGTAGAGGCGACCGCGCCGCGAGACTCGCTGGTAAACGGTAGATGTAGATAAAGTAACGCCCAGTCTCGCCTAATTGCGCCGCGACGTCCTACGGATCAGCAGGTTCAAAACCTGAAGAGAACTATCCGATGGCTATCGAAGCGAGGTAACGATGCCGCTGACTGGGAGCGACTGAATGGATTTAGTTTACAGATAAGTGAAGGCAGCCTTTAGGTAGTGACACTCAGTCAACGGAACGGAATCTGGAAATGAGAGAGCAGGATGTTAGAAACCCTACCAAAACTTTCAGGAACGCAGCTAAACTGCGTTGAAATCCTTCTCAACCGCAGTGAAGTCAAATGTGACAAATGGTCAAATGCTGGCAGATTCGGTGCTGCCAAATCGAAATCGGTGGCGGGAGGATTGGGAGGATGGCAACATACCTAAGCACAGGATGGAACCACTGAAGCTTTGCAGAGTATACCTGAAACAGAACTGGCACACCTGATACGGAGTATTCAAGATTTCAATGAATGAAACCATTACTTTCGTTAAATATCCGAGCATCCCATACCGCGTATTCGCTCAAATTTCGGCGAAACCGCCTCTGGTTCATCGAACACTCCAGAACCAATCCGTCGCTGGGGGCTAGCATCTCGTCGCAGAAAGGTTATCCTCCTTATCATTGGCGCAAATTCGTCGTCCATACCGAGTTACCTGTAAGCATTGCAGTCGCTAACCCGCAGAAAGTGGATCAGCTTGTAACCAGCGCCAGCGCAGTTGCCTGGCCGCCTTCATGTCTTGCCTGGAAATTGCGGAAACCTGGCAAGTCCTCCTCTGCTCCTCCAGCTCCTAGGAGCTTCTGCTGCTCTTAGGATTTCCCATAGCGATGCGGTTTAGGAAATTTCATATGGCGTATAAGATGGCATCAGGCGGCCTTTATGTTATCAGGGATTTCAGAAAGTGCTCGATTACTCCAGCTTTTTCTGTCTTGCTGCTGAGGAATTCTAATATCAAGTCGTGCGACATAGCATCAGAGAAATGGCGCCGAAATCCATTCTTATCACCGCGGCTAGCGGAGCGATTGGCAAGGCGACGATTAAGGTACCAATACGTTTTCCGCGTCGCTATCCTAATCAAAGATAGTCACTCTGTCTGTTTGAATCCATAGTTTCCACATTTTTCACCCATTGCTTCCTATTTTCTTCCTGATCTGGCTGTGTGTTTGTCATCCGTTAATCTCATTTTGTTCCAGGCGCTCGGCAATTCACCTGACAGCTTCACTGTGAAAGCAGGCGTGCGCGACCCCACCAAATCTGCCGACCTCGCCGCACTCGCTCCCAACGTTTCTCCGGTCGCTGCGGACCCGCTGAAAGCGGCGGAAATCGCGGCAGCGCTTGAGGGAGTGGACTACGTATTCGTGATTGCTCCTGGTCACGCTGACCGCCAGAAGATTGCCATAGCCGCCATTGATGCTGCTAAGGCTGCAGGCGTGAAGGTGAGGTGATAGTGCTGCTGATTGTGTTACTATTCAGTTGCTCCGAGCCATGCCAACTGCCAGAAGATTGCCATAGCCGCCATTGACGCTGCTAAGGCTGCAGGCGTGAAGGTGGGATGATTCCTGGTGATTTTGTCTGTGAGACAGCTCGTGTTTCTGCTGTTGCCTTATCTCGTTATTGCCTTATTTTCTTCTCAACTTCTCTCTAACCCTCTCCCCCGTCCTTCCCCCCCTTCCCCCTCTCTCTGCTACCCCTCACTTCCTCCCCGTGCTTTCCCCTCATTTCCCCAACACCCCATCGTTCTCTCCCCCTCACCCCGCAGTTCATCCTTGTCCTTCCAGTCCACTGCTGAACTCACTGACACGATTTTCCTGTTGATTCTGTAATCGCCCTCGCCCCTCTCTCTCCTACCCCCCACTTCCACCCGCTTTTTCCCCCACTTCCCCAACCCCCTGTTGTTGTCCGCAGTTCATCCTTGTCCTCTCAGTCTCCACTGCTGACCTCACCGACACGATTTTCGGCGGGCAGTTTGGGCCTGTGGAGGCACACACAAAGGCGTCCGGCGTGCCGTTCACTATCATTCGTCTGCCGCTGTTCATGGAGAATAACTACGGATTTGCTGACAGCATCAAGGATGCGAGCGCCATCTATTCGTCGTACGAGCCTGACAAGCCGTTCACTGCAGTTTCTGTGGACGGTATGTTGTTTCTGTGTATGCAGAGTGGCGCATCATTGTGCATCTTCGTGCAGTGCAACAAGGTGTATGCACCACTGCTGACTATGTTTTTTTCTTGCACCTGTCTTTTTCTTCTTCTTTTGCAGATGTGGGGGAAGCTGCAGCGAAAATATTTGCTGACCCGGAGGCTCATGAGGGGAAGACTTACAACCTGACTGGGCCGTCCTCAACAGCCACTGATATTGCACAGGCCTTTTCCAGTGCTCTCGGCAAAACAATTTCGTACAACTTCGTAAGTCCCTCTGCCCAGCACCAAAGCTCCAGTGCTGAATTTGAAGTTACCTAACACGTTTGGTGATATGTCCCTCGTTGCTGCAGGTTCCTTACGAGGCGAGCAAGGATTGGTTGACTCACAGTGGTTTTCCGGAGTGGCAAGCGGATGGGGTAATTGATCTCTTTAAATCCATCAATGCAGGGGCTGTACAAACCAATGACCCCGCTAATGGGAAGACTCTCGAGAACATTCTGGGACGTCCACCAATCTCTGTGAAGGCTTGGGTAGACGCACATGCTGCAGCTTTTAAGTAGAATGCATACCTGGTGCAGTTATAGGCTAAAACAAAATTGTGGGATGGGTTGCGTACCGTATATGATGCTGACGACTAGTGAGCGTTAGGGAGCTCGTTGTCCCTGATCTTCAGATCCTTCTGTATCATTTGGCAAAATGGATAGATATTGGGGCATTTGTCAAGACTAGCAAAGTGAGATTTTAGGAGCAGGGATCCGCCGGTATATCCATGTCAATGTACATCAGAGTCAAAGGTGATTTGCTCCAAGATGCAATCGAGTTTGTGATAAATTTTAGGATGACTCTGCAGCATATGCACGCCAGTCGTAAGGCAGCTGTATGCCGCAAACAGAGATGTGATTGGCGAAGAAAGGGAAAGTGAAGTCCCATCTCGGCGAGCGAAACTAGCCAAGGTTACCGATCAGATGTTATGTCCTCTGCGAAATGTCGCGATGATTTTGAAGTTACAAGCAGAGATCGTTTTGCCGGTGGAAGACTCGCATAAATCGTGGACTTTCGCCTGCGTTTCTGGTCCCCTCTCATGTAGATTTCACTGGCCGTTGGAAGGCTCACTTCCCCTGAGCAGCCTTTTCCCCTCTTGGCAAAGGTCCCCTGAAATGACGTCATCAGGTTTTGATGACGTCATCAGGAACCGTCGGCGAAAAACCTTCTTCAATTTCCTTTGCCTTACCCCCGCCAGATGGCTGGAGTGAGAACATCGCCAGTGAGGGCGAGACAGACCGGAGCGCGGGAAAGGGCTGGAGTTCACCGACCCGGCCAAGCATTGCCGCTTAGAGCATACGTTTTTGCCGTCGGATCGAAGAGTGATCGACGGCGCATAGGACCATGTCTACCTGGCTTTTCAGACCCGATCCGAATGCGAGTAACGGTTTAGGGTGGTAGTGGTTCCACACACGCGCGCAACGGGTTGCGGTCAACACACGCGAATGCACTTAGATGGCCTCTTTAGAATCAACTGCCACGTCACAGATCCGAGTCCAGGTTGTCGTGATGTGATTGGACGTATGTCATGTGCACACGGTACACATTTGCAAATTAACCATGTATACATGGCACCGCAGAGCCATGACCCGCCCCCTTTCACGATGTGCAGCATGCTGAAGCGCATGCCGCGAACAGTCTGAAAAAAAAAAACCGCCACCCGGATCCGTGAATGCGCTGCCATATAAATGTCGTCGTCACTCCACTTCGAGGTTATGGATTCTCAGAGTTCCGTGATAGAATTCCGACGTGATAGATTCTCAGAATTCCGTCCCAGCTATTTCTCCCGTCGAGTTTGATCTAGAACCATGGCGGTCAATACCGTTCTTATCACTGGAGCTAGTGGTTTGGTTGGCAAGGCGACAATAAAGGTAGGAGAGCTTCTCGTCGTCATCGATCGTTACCTCATTCAAGACACATGAAATCCCTTCACGGTTTGTGAGGCCTTCACATTGACCCGCATTCCTCTCGAGTTCTGCATGCGCGCTGTTAACGAGTGGTTGATTTTCCATCCCTTCAGGCTCTCGGTCAGTCGCCTGACCGCTTCACCGTGAAAGCAGGCGTTCGAAACCCCTCTAAATCCGCTGATCTCGCTGCGATCGCGCCGAACGTCTCAGTAGTCGCTGCGGACCCGCTGAAGGCAGCGGAAGTCGCGGCAGCGCTTCAGGGGGTGGATTACGTGTTCGTGATCGCTCCGAGCCATGCTGACTGCCAGAAGATTGCCATTGCCGCCATTGACGCTGCCAAGGCTGCAGGCGCGAAGGTGAGCTGATAGTGGCGCTGATTGTGTTATCATTCAGTTGCTCCGAGCCATGCTGTCTGCCAGAAGATTGCCATTGCCGCCATTGACGCGGCGAAGGCTGCAGGCGCGAAGGTGAGCTGCTCGTTACTGACACAACACCGTCAAGGTGAGCTGCTCGTTACTGTCACAACACCGTCAAGGTGAGCTGCTCGTTACTGTCACAACACCGTCAAGGTGAAGGTGACGCACTCGCGTTGCGGCTGTTTGCTTTCTTCAAGAGACACCACTCGGTGTTCTGCATCCGATACTCACCTTTTCCCTCCCAACACCCCCTCCTCCTCCCCTTTCGTCCACGCGTTCCTTACATTTCCCACCGCTCCATCCTTTCGTTCTCCTTATGTCGCAGTTCATCCTTCTCCTCTCAGTAGCCACTGCCGACCTGCCCGACTTGATTTTCTCTCGGCAATTCCGGCCCGTGGAGGAACACGTGGAGGCGTCTGGCGTGCCGTACACCATCATCCGCCTGCCATCCTTTATGGAGAATAACTACGATTTTGCAAAGACGATTAAAGAGTACAAAGCATTTTATTCGTCATACGAGCCGGACAAGCCGTTCAGCCAGGTTTCTGTGGACGGTACGTGGTGTCATTGACAATGTGAGTGCAGCAATGCCAATGCAGGTGCAGCAATGCCAATGCAGGTGCAGCAACGCCAATCCCATTTCGCACCATGCAGATCCAGGTGCACAGCTAGTATTGTGTCTCCAGGAGTTCTCCAGGGTCATTTGTGTTTGCAGGTGCGAGAATGTGCCCACAGGTGTAACCTATGCGCATTCTGGTGCAAAAATGTGCACTCTGGTGTAAGAATGTGCATTTGGGTGCAGAATTTTGCATTTGCAATGTGTGTACATGTGACCACGTATCAGTTGTGTGTTACTACCACCAACACCCTTCTGTACCATGCCTGCGTTTGGCAGATGTTGGGGAGGCTGCAGCAAAAATCTTAGCTGATCCTGAGGCTCATAAGGGCAAGACCTACACCCTGACTGGGCCCTTCTCGACTGCCACTGATATTGCGAAGGAATTTCCAGTGCTCTTGGCAAAAAAATATCCTACGAATTTGTAAGTCCTTCTCCAGTAGCAAGCTTGTTGTGGCTAATCTGTTCTATAGATTGGTACCGTAGGTTTTTATCAACACATTCATTATTATCCCCTACCATGACTTTTGCAGGTCCCTTACGATGCGACCAAGAAGTGGTTGACCGAGAATGGATTTGAAGCATGGCAAGCAGATGGGGTGGTTGAGCTTTTCATGGCCATTAATACAGGGGTTGGACAAGCCAATGACCCTGCTAATGGAAAGACCCTTGAGAATATCTTAGGACGTCCGCCAATTTCCATAAAGGCTTGGGTAGATGCACATGTTGATGCTTTTAAAGCCCAAAAAAAGAAGTGGTGATGAATACTTGAAGACGGAGATGGTTGGGTGCCCAAAACTGTATGCGGTTTTTGGTGTTTGAAGGCCTGAATGGTATTTCAGTAAAATACTCAGACTTGTAAAGGTGTCAGTTCGCACAACAAACAGTTTAGGTTAAAACCGTACTCAACCGTATGAGATCTCTGAACAAAGTGAAGCTGATGTTGCTGTGCCTGGCAGACTTCAAGGCGTGTCTCAGCCACACCCTAACCAGAACAACTTGCCCAGCGTCCAGAATTAGCGTCTCAAAGGTTGACAGATCGGCGAAAAGCAAATTCCGCTGAGTCACTCTCGGGATCCCATTCGTCCAGATGCTCGCGTCGCACTTTAATCGAATTTCGAGTTCGGCTCGGTGACGCCAAGCCCATTTGTATGAGTTCTCGAGGGTGTCAGATAGGCTCGGTATGCCTCACCTCCTTCCAGAAGAAACAAGAAACCAGGTTCGTTGGATGCCAAACCAACATAGTACTCAGCGAAGAGTCCTTCGTCGTTAACTCGCTTCGTAACGAACCCTGGTTACCCGATTTTGATAATGTTTTGGTGGATGATGGCCTTCGAAGCTCGCAAACTTTTTCTTGGGATTTCATCTCTACCTCGAAATTTGATTGGTTTGGTTCGGTTTGGGTTATCTCGCGTCACTACACTTTCTGCCATCCTACTGCCAGCATCATCACTCCCTTCCCTTGCCTTGGGTTTCCCTCTTCCCTTGCTTCTTGCTCTACGGCTTGGGGTTGTGTTTCAAGTAGGAGAAAGTTGGAATAATTCAACCTCTTTCCACGCAGTGGCTACTGCAACGGAGTCTTGCATTAGTGACGCTTATCTCGTTTGCTCTGTTCAATTCAAAGCTATCATCTCTTGGCTGTAGTTCGACAGGTATAGGAACGTGGATTTACATCAGTCATCGACGCGGATTCATATTGGAAATTACAAGAATAGTTGTAACAGGAACCGCTAGGTAGTTAACTCAGGGGTCTGGGGTTTACTGATACAGCTCGTCGATTTCTCCTCACCCATTCTTTCCTGCTGATAGATAAAGGAATCCCGAGACTGGTTTAGGTTAGGAGTGAGATCCTCTCATGTCTACCGAAGCTGACAAGCCCGCTCCCGTCGAGGGAGATGCTGCTAAGGTCCCTGCACCTTCCGCTGCCGAACCTGGAAAAGCACCCGAGCCTGAAAAGCCCGTCGAAGCTGAAAAGGCCTCCGAACCTAAAAAAGCTCCTGACGCTGACTCGTCAGCCGACAATGCGGACAAGGGCGACGGCTGGCAGACGGTGACGTCACGCGAGAGACGAGATGGCAACAGGGGGCATTGGAGGGGACGAGGCCGCGGAGGCAGGGATTCGCACCACCATCACGGAGGTGGTAACCACCACGGCGGAAATCGCAATGCAGGTGGTTACAGACGTTCGCACGGCCATGGAGGAGGATCCGGCGCACCCGGAGGCTCCGTCGACAAATCGGGCGGTGCAGGTAGAGGCGGTGTTGCCGGCAAAGGCGGCGCGGTCGCCGCCGCCAAATCCGGCGGCGCAGCTGGTGCTGCTGCTGCGGCAGCTCCCCCTGCTGGAGCTGCTTCGGCGGACGGCAACGCCGCTGCCGGAGCAGCCGGAGCTTCTGGCGCAACGGAAGGCGCAGCGAAGGCCGGGGATGGCGGAGATGGCGGAAGCGCGACGGCTGGCGCAGCGGGTCAGAAAGCCGGAAGTGATTCCAACGAGGGGAAATGCGCAAGCGGAGGGGGCGCAGGAGGGGGTGCGCAGGGGCACGGGCACGGACATGCGCACGGGCATGGGCATGGGCATGGGCACGGCAAGGGCTCGGTGTGGCAGGTTAAGGGGAAGCCTGGAAAAGGGGTATGGGCGCAGGTGGTTAAGAGTGAGCCAGGCAAGGCTCGGACGCACCCCGGGCCTGATGAGGGGTTAGCGTCGCTCGTGCGAGGTTCGGACGCAGCTGGAGACGCGCCGGCGAGTGCCGAGCCTGCGAAGCAGGCTGGGGGAAAGGCTGGTGGAGCGGATGCCAAGCCGGGATCGGAATCAGCGAAACAGGGTGGGGGGAGGGGCGGGAATGCAGGCTCGGGGGGGCAGAAGGGTGGCGGAGGGAGGGGGGAAGGGGGAGGGAAGGGAGGCAAGGGCGGCAAGGCATGGCATAAGGATAAGGACAAAAAGGAGGAGAAGAAGGAGGAGAAGAGAGATGAGAAGGAGGACACTGAGAAGAATAAGGAGAAGGAGAAGGAGAAGGGGAGCGAGGACAAGGAGAGTGCTAGTGGCGGTGCGAAGGAGGGCGGGGATGGTAAGGGCTCGAAAGGAGGGGGACACGGAAAGAAGGACGGGAAGTCGGATCAGAAAGAGCAGAAGGATCAGAAAGAGGGGAAAGAGCCTAAGGAGCACAAGCCGCCGAAGCAGGCGTGGCGCAAGCACAACAGGGACGGCGAGAAGGGTGGGGCGGCGGCGGCCGCGGCGGTGGTGATGGGCGCCGGCGCGACAGCGTGGCCTGCGCTTTCCGAGGCGGACGCTGCTGCTGCGCGCGCGGCGGAAAACGGCAAGGGCGCGGGCGGAGATGATAAGGTGTGTGGGCGGGGGTAGTCTTGATTTTTTCTCAGAATTGTGTGACTGTGGGGATGATTAGATGAGAGAGGGCGGTGCTGATGGTAGGAATGGAAAAGACAAAGTGAGCGAGGGAGTATATCTTTGAAGGGCCTCAAGATTTGACTCTAGGGCGCGAGCGGGATGATCGAGTCAGAGCTGGGAGTATTGAGAATTCGAGAATTTGAAAAATTGAGAAGTTGAGGAATTTTGATATCTGATTTATTGGAAATTATCATCGCAATAACGTGTTGCAAGGGCGCTAGTGCAGGTGAGGACGATAAACGCACTGCTGTGAGCTAGTGCTGCTCATCGAGCTGCGGTCATCTCATCTTTTGAGGTGCCTCAGGATTGTGTGTTGTAAGGGCGGTGGCGCAGGTGAAGACGATTAGGGTCTGCCTTGACCTGCGATTGTCAATTTCCGTTGCAGCCCTGCCTCCTCCTCTTGCATTTTCGTAATCTTCCCTTTGTCGTACATTTTGGTCGTCCTCCTATCCCCTCTCCTGATCTTCCTCCTATTGTCTCTCTTGGTGTTCCTCCGCCCAGTTCCCCTTGCTCCTGCCCCATTGTTTCTTCTCACTTTAATCAATTGTTTAGCTTGGCCATGATCAGTAAGAACAAGCAGAAACACATACCTCCTAACCTCCAGCACCCCTCCGAACCCCTGCCCCGGTCCTCCCTCCCCCCTCTTCTCCCCTCTCCCTCTTCCACCCCAACCTACCTGCTCCACTTCCCTTATCGGCCCTTCTGTCTACCCCAACCCTCCAGGCAAAGCCTGCTGCTGGTCTCGCTATAATCGCAAACGAAGGCGACAAATCGTCTGCTGCCACGTCAGACAAGCAGAGCGGCGCAGCGGCGGTCATAGCAGCAGACGCAGCCAGAAAGGCTGGCGCTGCTGACGTGGCAGTTGGGAGCGTCCGCGAGCTGGCTGGGGGGCAGTACAAGCGGGGGGGACATCAGGGGGGCGCGGGGGCGCACCATAGCGGAAGGGGGGGAGGCGTGGGCGGAGGGGGATACCAGAGGCGCGCGCATGTGGGCCCCGCACAGGGGGGGAACGGCGAGGGGAAGCCTCAGGGCGGCGCTGGGCGCGGGCAGGGGGGGCAGCAGGGGCAGGCGCAGCAGCGGAAGCAGCAGCCTGGGGGACAGGCGCAGCAGCAGCAGCCGCAGGGGCAGCAGGGACAGGCGCAGGGGCAGGGGCAGACGCAGGGGCAGGCGCAGGGGCAGGGGCAGAAGCAGCACGGGCAGGGAGGGCATGGGGGGATGGGGGGGGGCGGGCGCGGGGGGCATATGCGCGGGCAGGGGCGGGTGGTGGTGGTGGCGGACGATCCCCCGCTGACGGAGTTCGTGGCTGCTGGCCCCAGGAGGTCCGCTGCTGCCATGGCCAATGGCATGGGCGGCAGCTATGGCTACCCCATGGTCGTGGGAGGTAAGCATTGGTGGAGGGAGCTGGTGGTGGGAGGTAAGCAGTGGTAAGGTAGCATGGCATGGGATGGGAGGGAGCTATGGCTACCACCCTTGGTGGTGGGAGGTAAGCAGTGCGTGCAATACCTGTAGGCATGAGGGAGACATATACATACCATCGCCAATGGTATATGGGGGGAACTTTGGCTACCCCGTTCCTTCACCCATTCCCCCCCAACCAATGCGTTGCTAACGACCCTTGCTACATGCGCACGCATGACTCCGCCTGTCCAGGTTGACCATGGTGACATCAGGCTTAGTTACGTTTTTCCTCCTGTTTCTCCTACTTCCCCCCCATCAATGCATGTAGCCAATGGCCCCTACTACATGCCGTACCACATGGCTCCACCTGTCCCGGTTGATTCCATGTCTCAGGCTCAGTTACGTTTCTTCTTCTTCTTCTGTTTCTCCCCCCCCCCTCATCCCCGTTTATCACCCGTACGTGCAGCCAACGGTCCCTACTACATGCAATACCGCATGCCGCCTGTCCCAGTCGACCCAATGTCGGGCCTCCGTACGGCGCTCACGAAGCAGATCGAGTACTACTTCAGGTGGGTAGCTGCTGCCCCTTCTGTCACTGTTGCCCTTTCACTCACTGTTGCCCTTGCTTGTTGATACCCTTGTTGCCAGTCGTGTCAGTAGTGTGGTGTCCCGGTTGACCCAATGTCGGGCCTCCGCACGGCGTTTACGAAGCAGATCGAGTACTACTTCAGGTGGGTAGCTGCTACCTTATTAGACATTGACTTTTTCCTCTGCTTTGTCCGATCCCATCCCATCTCCCATCTTCACCACTCATCCACCCCATCCCCATTCCCTACCCCCATCTCTCCGATCAACCCCATGCCCCACCTCCAATCCAGCATTGAGAATCTGTGTCGCGACCTTTTCCTTCGCTCTAAGATGCACTGCAACATTGACCTCTCCCCATCCCCCATGCACCACCCCCCATCTTCCCCACCTCCCATCTTCTCCACCTCCCATCTTCCCCACCTCCCATCTTCCCCACCTCCCATCTTCTCCACCCCCCATCCAGCATTGAGAATCTGTGCCGCGACCTTTTCCTTCGCTCTAAGATGCGCTGCAACATTCCCCTCTCCCCATCCCCCATGCACCACCCCCCATCTTCCCCACCTCCCATCTTCCCCACCCCCCACCTTCCCCACCTCCCATCTTCCCCACCCCCCACCTTCCCCACCTCCCATCTTCTCCACCTCCCATCCAGCATTGAGAATCTGTGCCGCGACCTCTTCCTTCGCTCCAAGATGGACGCCGAAGGGTTCATTCACGTGGACGTTATTGCGGCCTTCAATCGGGTACGACTGAGTGCAGTAAGGTTGAGTGCGGTGAGATTGGGTTGGTTGTGGTCAAGTGCGGTATCGTTGAGCAACGCAGTGACCTTTTCCTTCGGTCCAAGATGGACGCCGAGGGATTCATTCATGTGGACGTTATCGCGGCCTTTAACAGGGTGAGATTCAGTGCGGCAGGGTTGAGTGCGGTAAGGTCGGGTAAGGTAAGGTAGTGCCCTCTTCCTTCGGTCCAAATTAGACTCTGACGGCTTCATTCATGTGGTCGTTATTGCGCCCTTCAACAGGGTAAGATTGAGTACGGCAAGGTTGAATGCGGTAAGGTTTACTTTGTTTACAGCTGGTTAATACACATAGAGCATCATGAGTTAAAAAGGGTAAGGAAATAGGCAAAGTAGGGTCCTCTACACTAAAGTGTTTCTTCCATCCCTTTATTATTAAGGAGATGCCTCTTATCTCTTCGAATTGATTCTTAGTGAAGAAAAAAATATAACTTGCTCTGTTGGTGGCGCCTGAACAAGCTCGGCTTGACAGGATGGCTGACTGGTGTGATTTGGAACAAGGAACCCTAATCCATGCTTACGCAGCTGCTAGGGTTTCAGTTGTGTGTTTGCCTCCATTCTCAGCCGCCTTGCCAACTCTTACAAGCTTTCCTCTCCCTTCCCCTCTTCTTGCCTCCAATCTCTTCCCACTATACTATATCCCTGCTCTCCTCCCTTTTTCATTTCTATATATCCCCCTCCCCCCACTGTTTCCAGGTGCGCATGCTCACACTTGACAAGGCATTCATTCTCAGCGGCCTTGCCAACTCCACTTCAATCAGTCTCCCCCCTCCCCTTTCATCCCTATACCCCCTCCCCCCTCTCTTCGTCCATTGCCCCTCCTTCCCCCCCCACAGGTGCGCATGCTCACACTAGACAAGGCCTTCATTCTCACCTGCCTTGCCAACTCCCATGAGCTTCCCCCTTGCCTCTCCCACCCCCTCCCCCTCCCCCCCTTTCCTCCCATCTGCAGGTGCGCATGCTCACACTTGACAAGGCCTTCATTCTCACCTGCCTTGCCAACTCCCATGAGCTTCCCCCTTGCCTCTCCCACCCCCTCCCCCTCCCCCCCTTTCCTCCCATCTGCAGGTGCGCATGCTCACACTTGACAAGGCCTTCATTCTCACCTGCCTTGCCAACTCCCATGAGCTTCCCCCTTGCCTCTCCCACCCCCTCCCCCTCCCCCCCTTTCCTCCCATCTGCAGGTGCGCATGCTCACACTTGACAAGGCCTTCATTCTCACCTGCCTTGCCAACTCCACTTCAGTTGAAGTGCAGGTAAGCGCTCTGCGGTGTCTTTATCAGTGAGAGAGAGTGCGGAAGGTGTCTGCCCGACCTCTTACCAAGACTGCCTTGCGAAGTGCAGGTAAGCGCTTTGAGGTGTCTTTATCAGTCGAAGCGAGAGTAAAGGCACAAGGTCGGGAATTCTTGTTTTGAGGCGCCTCAAAACTAGACTTCAGTCGAAGTGCAGGTAAGCGCTTTGAGGTGTCTTTATCAGTCGAAGCGAGAGTAAAGGCACAAGGTCGGGCATTCTTGTTTTGAGGCGCCTCAAAACTAGACTTCAGTCGAAGTGCAGGTAAGCGCTTTGAGGTGTCTTTATCAGTCGAAGCGAGAGTAAAGGCACAAGGTCGGGCATTCTTGTTTTGAGGCGCCTCAAAACTAGACTTCAGTCGAAGTGCAGGTAAGCGCTTTGAGGTGTCTTTATCAGTCGAAGCGAGAGTAAAGGCACAAGGTCGGGCATTCTTGTTTTGAGGCGCCTCAAAACTAGACTTCAGTCGAAGTGCAGGTAAGCGCTTTGAGGTGTCTTTATCAGTCGAAGCGAGAGTAAAGGCACAAGGTCGGGCATTCTTGTTTTGAGGCGCCTCAAAACTAGACTTCAGTCGAAGTGCAGGTAAGCGCTTTGAGGTGTCTTTATCAGTCGAAGCGAGAGTAAAGGCACAAGGTCGGGCATTCTTGTTTTGAGGCGCCTCAAAACTAGACTTCAGTCGAAGTGCAGGTAAGCGCTTTGAGGTGTCTTTATCAGTCGAAGCGAGAGTAAAGGCACAAGGTCGGGCATTCTTGTTTTGAGGCGCCTCAAAACTAGACTTCAGTCGAAGTGCAGGTAAGCGCTTTGAGGTGTCTTTATCAGTCGAAGCGAGAGTAAAGGCACAAGGTCGGGCATTCTTGTTTTGAGGCGCCTCAAAACTAGACTTCAGTCGAAGTGCAGGTAAGCGCTTTGAGGTGTCTTTATCAGTCGAAGCGAGAGTAAAGGCACAAGGTCGGGCATTCTTGTTTTGAGGCGCCTCAAAACTAGACTTCAGTCGAAGTGCAGGTAAGCGCTTTGAGGTGTCTTTATCATTCGAAGCGAGAGTAAAGGCACAAGGTCGGGCATTCTTGTTTTGAGGCGCCTCAAAACTAGACTTCAGTCGAAGTGCAGGTAAGCGCTTTGAGGTGTCTTTATCAGTCGAAGCGAGAGTAAAGGCACAAGGTCGGGCATTCTTGTTTTGAGGCGCCTCAAAACTAGACTTCAGTCGAAGTGCAGGTAAGCGCTTTGAGGTGTCTTTATCAGTCGAAGCGAGAGTAAAGGCACAAGGTCGGGCATTCTTGTTTTGAGGCGCCTCAAAACTAGACTTCAGTCGAAGTGCAGGTAAGCGCTTTGAGGTGTCTTTATCAGTCGAAGCGAGAGTAAAGGCACAAGGTCGGGCATTCTTGTTTTGAGGCGCCTCAAAACTAGACTTCAGTCGAAGTGCAGGTAAGCGCTCTGAGGTGTCTTTATCAGTCGAAGCGAGAGTAAAGGCACAAGGTCGGGCATTCTTGTTTTGAGGCGCCTCAAAACTAGACTTCAGTCGAAGTGCAGGTAAGCGCTTTGAGGTGTCTTTATCAGTCGAAGCGAGAGTAAAGGCACAAGGTCGGGCATTCTTGTTTTGAGGCGCCTCAAAACTAGACTTCAGTCGAAGTGCAGGTAAGCGCTCTGAGGTGTCTTTATCAGTCGAAGCGAGAGTAAAGGCACAAGGTCGGGCATTCTTGTTTTGAGGCGCCTCAAAACTAGACTTCAGTCGAAGTGCAGGTAAGCGCTTTGAGGTGTCTTTATCAGTCGAAGCGAGAGTAAAGGCACAAGGTCGGGCATTCTTGTTTTGAGGCGCCTCAAAACTAGACTTCAGTCGAAGTGCAGGTAAGCGCTTTGAGGTGTCTTTATCAGTCGAAGCGAGAGTAAAGGCACAAGGTCGGGCATTCTTGTTTTGAGGCGCCTCAAAACTAGACTTCAGTCGAAGTGCAGGTAAGCGCTTTGAGGTGTCTTTATCAGTCGAAGCGAGAGTAAAGGCACAAGGTCGGGCATTCTTGTTTTGAGGCGCCTCAAAACTAGACTTCAGTCGAAGTGCAGGTAAGCGCTCTGAGGTGTCTTTATCAGTCGAAGCGAGAGTAAAGGCACAAGGTCGGGCATTCTTGTTTTGAGGCGCCTCAAAACTAGACTTCAGTCGAAGTGCAGGTAAGCGCTTTGAGGTGTCTTTATCAGTCGAAGCGAGAGTAAAGGCACAAGGTCGGGCATTCTTGTTTTGAGGCGCCTCAAAACTAGACTTCAGTCGAAGTGCAGGTAAGCGCTCTGAGGTGTCTTTATCAGTCGAAGCGAGAGTAAAGGCACAAGGTCGGGCATTCTTGTTTTGAGGCGCCTCAAAACTAGACTTCAGTCGAAGTGCAGGTAAGCGCTTTGAGGTGTCTTTATCAGTCGAAGCGAGAGTAAAGGCACAAGGTCGGGCATTCTTGTTTTGAGGCGCCTCAAAACTAGACTTCAGTCGAAGTGCAGGTAAGCGCTTTGAGGTGTCTTTATCATTCGAAGCGAGAGTAAAGGCACAAGGTCGGGCATTCTTGTTTTGAGGCGCCTCAAAACTAGACTTCAGTCGAAGTGCAGGTAAGCGCTTTGAGGTGTCTTTATCAGTCGAAGCGAGAGTAAAGGCACAAGGTCGGGCATTCTTGGTAAGGTGTCCGAAGCCTCTAATGAGGGTATGCTTATGGCGTTACCCGTTACCAAGGGTGTATACCGTGTGTGTGTGGGTTGGACAAACGCATTCGTGCCCGCGTGCTTGGGGGAGTCAGTCAGGGGGCCTGTGAGGAGGCTGCAGAGTCCTTACTTCCATCCACTCAGTGGGTGCGTGTGTGTTAAGAAACTCGTGTTAGGACTATGAGACCCCGTGTTAACCCCATGGCTTAGGTGGTCTCAGGTGAAGAAAAGGAATGCATGGTATGGTGGAAGCCTTTGCGTTTCGATAAGAGCCAGGTTGAACGACTCCTCAAATTGTAAACAAGACTTGTGTAAACAAGACATTACCAAGGGTGCATACCGTGTGCATGGGGGTTGGACAAACGCATTTCTTGCCGGCGTGCATGGGGGTCGGGGGGGGGGGGGGGAGGTTTGTGTTCTCTCTTCTCTCTCTCCCGTGTGTACTCCCCGCCCCCACCACCTCCCCCCTCTCCTCAGGGCGAGAGGCTGAGGAGGCGCAGTGACTGGAGCAACTGGCTGGTTTCTCTCCCTCTCTCCTCCCATCTCACCCTTCTCTATCTTGCCAGTACCCCCTCTGTTTCTACCCTCTCTCCTTCTCCTCAGGGCGAGAAGCTGAGGTGGCGCAGTGACTGGAGCAACTGGTTGCTGCCCACTGATACCCTCTCTATCTCCCCTCTTCTCCACTCCCCCCTCTGTTCCCCCTTCTCTCCCCTCCGTTCCCCACCTCTCAGGGCGAGAAGCTGAGGCGGCGCAGTGAATGGAGCAACTGGTTGCTGCCCACTGATACCCTCTCTATCTCCCCTCTTCTCCTCCACTCCCCCCTCTGTTCCCCCTTCTCTCCCCTCCGTTCCCCACCTCTCAGGGCGAGAAGCTGAGGCGGCGCAGTGACTGGAGCAACTGGTTGCTGCCCACTGCTGCCCTCTTCATCTCACCTCTTCTTCTCCTCTCCTCTCCCTCCTCTATCCCCTCTCTATCACCCGTCCCCCCCGCTCCTCTCAGGGCGAGAAGCTGAGGAGGCGCAGTGACTGGAGCAACTGGCTGCTGCCCACGGGGCACATGCAGGCCGTCGTTCCGCACTCAGAGGCCGCACCCAGTCAGGAGGGGGGAGGAAAGAAGGGAGGCTGGTTCTTCACACTCACTCACTCCCTCTCCCCTCCTCTCTCTGGCGTTACCTCCTCTCTATCTCCCCCTCCCCCTCCCCCCCTCCTTGCCAACCCCTCAGGGCGAGAAGCTGAGGAGGCGCAGTGACTGGAGCAACTGGCTGCTGCCCACGGGGCACATGCAGGCCGTCGTTCCGCACTCAGAGGCCGCACCCAGTCAGGAGGGGGGAGGAAAGAAGGGAGGCTGGTTCTTCACACTCACTCACTCCCTCTCCCCTCCTCTCTCTGGCGTTACCTCCTCTCTATCTCCCCCTCCCCCTCTCCCCCTCCTTGCCAACCCCTCAGGGCGAGAAGCTGAGGAGGCGCAGTGACTGGAGCAACTGGCTGCTGCCCACGGGGCACATGCAGGCCGTCGTTCCGCACTCAGAGGCCGCACCCAGTCAGGAGGGGGGAGGAAAGAAGGGAGGCTGGTTCTTCACACTCACTCACTCCCTCTCCCCTCCTCTCTCTGGCGTTACCTCCTCTCTATCTCCCCCTCCCCCCCTCCTTGCCAACCCCTCAGGGCGAGAAGCTGAGGAGGCGCAGTGACTGGAGCAACTGGCTGCTGCCCACGGGGCACATGCAGGCCGTCGTTCCGCACTCAGAGGCCGCACCCAGTCAGGAGGGGGGAGGAAAGAAGGGAGGCTGGTTCTTCACACTCACTCACTCCCTCTCCCCTCCTCTCTCTGGCGTTACCTCCTCTCTATCTCCCCCTCCCCCTCCCCCCCTCCTTGCCAACCCCTCAGGGCGAGAAGCTGAGGAGGCGCAGTGACTGGAGCAACTGGCTGCTGCCCACGGGGCACATGCAGGCCGTCGTTCCGCACTCAGAGGCCGCACCCAGTCAGGAGGGGGGAGGAAAGAAGGGAGGCTGGTTCTTCACACTCACTCACTCCCTCTCCCCTCCTCTCTCTGGCGTTACCTCCTCTCTATCTCCCCCTCCCCCTCTCCCCCTCCTTGCCAACCCCTCAGGGCGAGAAGCTGAGGAGGCGCAGTGACTGGAGCAACTGGCTGCTGCCCACGGGGCACATGCAGGCCGTCGTTCCGCACTCAGAGGCCGCACCCAGTCAGGAGGGGGGAGGAAAGAAGGGAGGCTGGTTCTTCACACTCACTCACTCCCTCTCCCCTCCTCTCTCTGGCGTTACCTCCTCTCTATCTCCCCCTCCCCCTCCCCCCCTCCTTGCCAACCCCTCAGGGCGAGAAGCTGAGGAGGCGCAGTGACTGGAGCAACTGGCTGCTGCCCACGGGGCACATGCAGGCTGTCGTTCCGCACTCGGATGCCGCAGGAGAGGGGGGAGAGGGAGGAGCGGGAAGAGCGGCAGGAAAGAAGGGAGGCTGGTAACCCATACTCGTGTCTCACACCCTACTTTATCTTGCCTTCTACTCCTCCCTTTCCTCCCTCCAACCCCCACAATAACCCTCCTCCCAGGGTGAGAAGCTGAGGCGACGGCATGACTGGAGCAACTGGCTGCTGCCCACTGCTGCCCTCTCTATCTCCTTTCTTCTCCTCCTCTCTCACCCTTCTCTATCTGCCTCCACCTCCCCTACCCCCCTCATCGCAGGGCGAGAAGCTGAGGCGGCGGAATGACTGGAGCAACTGGCTGCTTCCCACGGGGCACATGCAGGCTGTGGTTCCGCACTCAGAGGCCGCAGGAGAGGGGGGAGAGGGAGGGAATAAGGGAGGAGAGCAAGGCGAGGGGGAGAAGGAGGCTGATGGAACCATTGCTGATAAAGCTGCTGCTGCTGGTGATGCTGACAAGGACGGGCAGGGAAAAGATTCCGAAGGCGAAAAGAAAGAAACTCCTGACGCTGCTGCTGCTACTGCCGCCGCCACCGCTGCTGGTGCTACAGCCGCTGCTGGTGCTGCTGCTGGTGCTGATGCAGGTCCCTCCTCTCCTGCTGCTACTCTCCTATTCGCCCCTCGAAACATCCCCTCGGCAGCAGATGGGGAGGCGGATGATGAAGGGGAGGAGGGGGGAGGGCAGCGGGCGAATCGCGAGGGCACTCCGGCAAGGAGCGTCGGGAAGCGGCGCGGCAGCAGCGTGAAACGAGTCTCTTCGGGACGCTACTCAGCAAGCAAGTCTGGGGGCCTTTCGGCTGCGTTTGCCGCCGAAGCTGCAGGTTCGGGGGGCCGAACCGAGGGGCTAGGCTCGCTGCCGGGCCTGGCTGGGAAGGTGGCCGCGGCGATTGAGGAGGCTGGGAAGGGGGCTGAGGGGGGGAAGAGTAAGGAGGAGAGGGAGAGGGAGAAGGGGAAGCGGGCGGCAGAGGAGAGTGAGGCGCTGACTGAAGCGAGTGAAGCGGAGGATACGTTTCAGTTTAGCGGGGACGAGGTTGGGGAGGGGAAGAAGCGGGCGAGCAAGCCCAGGAGGAAGCAGCGTGCCAGGTAGGCTCTTTCACCGGGCAAATTTTGATGGTAAGGAGAATCAGGGTTTAGGGTTTGGGTCTGGGGGTTAGGGTTAGTGACGACGAACCTTCACTTCACTTACTCTCAGTCACACACACTTCTCATACACACAGGTTGGACGGATAACACTGTTTTGTACGTTTATGTGTTCATGTGCACACATTAACTCTCATCCACACACAACTCATTCACACACGCTACGCATACTCACGTGTTCATGTGTTTTCGCGTGTCTCCCCCCGCCCATACACACGCCACACACTCACAGGTCAGAGGAGGATACAACAGATGACTCTGACTTCAACGACGTGAATCCCAGCCTCAAGAACCTCGTTATTGTCACACAGGTAAGGACATCATTCTAGTCACATGTACAGTAAATTCCTTGTTCGATGTTGTCGCACAAGTAAGAATTACATCACCGTCGCTCCCCTACGATTGGTGAGGCGGTGTGAGGCGGAAGCAGGGCAACGAGATGCAATCGCCTATGCTCACTTATGCTTCGTTGTCCCCCCTTCTCCTCCCCCCTCCTCCCCCCTCCTCTCCCCTCCTCGTTCCTTCCTATCAGAGGCGCTCGGGGCAGGGCGGTGCGCTTCAGCAGCAGCGGCATGGGGAGGGGGTGTGAGGCGCAGCCAGGGCAAGTAAGCAGAGCAACGAGGTGCAACCCCCAATGCTCACTTATGTTCCATCCTACCCCCCCACTCTTTGTTCCCTGTGTATCAGAGGCGCCCGGGCCAGGGCGGTGCGCTTCAGCAGCAGCAGCGTGGCGGTGTGAGGCGCAAGCAGGGCAGGGAGATGCAATCGCCTATGCTCACTTGTGCTTCATTGCTCCCACCCTTCCCCTCCCCTCCCCTCGTTCCCTGCCTACCCCAGAGGCGTCCGGGCCAGGGCGGTGCGCTTCAGCAGCAGCAGCGTGGCGGTGTGAGGCGCAGCCAGGGCAGGGAGGACGGGGCGAGTGGCAGCAGCTATGAGGGCGGGTCTTCCCTGGTGAGATTGCCAGATGCTTGCTGTGTGGGAAAGGGGAGAGTGAGTGAGTGCGAGGGATTAACATTAGCAGCCAGGGCAGGGAGGACGGGGCGAGTGGTAGCAGCTATGAGGGCGGGTCTTCCCTGGTGAGATGCTTACTAAGGACTTAAGATTGTCTTGGTGTGGGTGTATGTGGGTGTATGTGGGTGTAAGTGGGTGTATGTGGGTGTATGTGGGTGTATGTGGGTGTATGTGGGTGTATGTGGGTGTATGTGGGTGTATGTGGGTGTATGTGGGTGTGAGTGGGTGTGAGTGGGTGTGAGTGGGTGTAAGTGGGTATGAGTGGGTATGAGTGCTGTGGGATGCAACCAGAGCAGCCAGGGCAGGGAGGACGGGGCGAGTGGCAGCAGCTACGAGGGTGGGTCGTCGCTGGTGAGATGATTGATTGTGTGGAAAGGGGAGAGTGGGTGAGAGTGAGTGTGAGTGAGTGGGTGCGTGTGGGTGTGAGATGCAACCAGGGCAGCCAGGGCAGGGAGGACGGGGCGAGTGGGAGCAGCTACGAAGGGGCGTCTTCCCTGGTGAGCTACTTGATCAGAGTCAGGACTACTGCTGTGTGGGTGCAAGTGGGTGTAAGTGGGTTTGAGTGGGTGTGAGTGGTTGTGAGGTACAACCAGGGCAACCAGGGCGGGGAGGAGGAAGGGTGAGTTCTTCCCATCTCCACCACAACTCACCACACGGCACACGCCACCACGCGCTCCCTCCGTTTTTCACCCTCCCCCCTCCCTTTTCCCGCTCCACCCTCCCCCCTCCCGTTTTCCGCCATTCCTTTCTTTTCTCCCCCCCCTCTTCCCCCCGCTCTCTCCCATGTCTCTCCTCCCCCATCTCTCCTCCCCCATCTCTCCTCCCCCATCTCTCCTCCCCCATCTCTCCTCCCCCATCTCTCCTCCCCATCTCTCCTCCCCATCTCTCCTCCCCCATCTCTCCTCCCCATCTCTCCTCCCCATCTCTCCTCCCCCATCTCTCCTCCCCCATCTCTCCTCCCCCATCTCTCCTCCCCCATCTCTCCTCCCCCATCTCTCCTCCCCCATCTCTCCTCCCCCATCTCTCCTCCCCCATCTCTCCTCCCCATCTCTCCTCCCCCATCTCTCCTCCCCCATCTCTCCTCCCCCATCTCTCCTCCCCCATCTCTCCTCCCCCATCTCTCCTCCCCCATCTCTCCTCCCCCATCTCTCCTCCCCCATCTCTCCTCCCCCATCTCTCCTCCCCCATCTCTCCTCCCCCATCTCTCCTCCCCCATCTCTCCTCCCCCATCTCTCCTCCCCCATCTCTCCTCCCCCATCTCTCCTCCCCCATCTCTCCTCCCCCATCTCTCCTCCCCCATCTCTCTCCCCCATCTCTCCTCCCCATCTCTCCTCCCCATCTCTCCTCCCCCATCTCTCCTCCCCCATCTCTCCTCCCATCTCTCCTCCCCCATCTCTCCTCCCCCATCTCTCCTCCCCCATCTCTCCTCCCCATCTCTCCTCCCCCATCTCTCCTCCCCATCTCTCCTCCCCATCTCTCCTCCCCCATCTCTCCTCCCCCATCTCTCCTCCCCATCTCTCCTCCCCCATCTCTCCTCCCCATCTCTCCTCCCCCATCTCTCCTCCCCATCTCTCCTCCCCATCTCTCCTCCCCCATCTCTCCTCCCCCATCTCTCCTCCCCCATCTCTCCTCCCCCATCTCTCTCCCCATCTCTCCCCATCTCTCCTCCCCATCTCTCCTCCCCCATCTCTCCTCCCCCATCTCTCCTCCCCCATCTCTCCTCCCCCATCTCTCCTCCCCCATCTCTCCTCCCCCATCTCTCCTCCCCCATCTCTCCTCCCCCATCTCTCCTCCCCCATCTCTCCTCCCCCATCTCTCCTCCCCATCTCTCCTCCCCATCTCTCCTCCCCCATCTCTCCTCCCCCATCTCTCCTCCCCCATCTCTCCTCCCCCATCTCTCCTCCCCATCTCTCCTCCCCCATCTCTCCTCCCCATCTCTCCTCCCCCATCTCTCCTCCCCATCTCTCCTCCCCCATCTCTCCTCCCCCATCTCTCCTCCCCCATCTCTCCTCCCCCATCTCTCCTCCCCCATCTCTCCTCCCCCATCTCTCCTCCCCCATCTCTCCTCCCCCATCTCTCCTCCCCCATCTCTGCGCTCCCATCTCTCCTCCCCCATCTCTCCTCCCCCATCTCTCCTCCCCCATCTCTCCTCCCCATCTCTCCTCCCCCATCTCTCCTCCCCCATCTCTCCTCCGCCATCTCTCCTCCCCCATCTCTCCTCCCCCATCTCTCCTCCCCCATCTCTCCTCCCCCATCTCTCCTCCCCCATCTCTCCTCCCCCCATCTCTCCTCCCCCATCTCTCCTCCCCCATCTCTCCTCCCCCATCTCTCCTCCCCCATCTCTCCTCCCCCATCTCTCCTCCCCCATCTCTCCTCCCCCATCTCCCCCACAGGGTCCCAACTACCGCGCCAGCAGGCTGTCTGCAGAGAAGGGCGAGCAGTCAGGGACGGACGGGGAGTGGCCTGGCAGGTGAGCGCGGGGGAAATGGAGAAATGAAATTGGAGAGGGCGGGGAAGCGGAGGTGTATGAGAGGGGTGAGCAGTTGGGGACGTATGGAAAGGGAGGGGGACGGGGAAGAGTGAGAGTGGAGGGTAAAAGGGTTACTGACACTTTTGGCATGGCGCCTCGAAAGGTTTATGGGGCCAGTAGAAGAAAGGAGTCTCTGAGATTTGTATAGAAAATAAACAGTTGAGGTGATGGTTATGGGGGCCGCATGGTTGGAGAGGGGATGTATGAACCAGCCTGTATGAAAAGCCTGGTTGTGTAGTGCCGCTTGGCCTCTTGTACCCTGGGATTGCACACACACTCACGACTCACATTCACTTGTCACATCCTCTTTTCGGCTCCCCCTCCCCGCACCCCTCTGCCTCCCTCCTCCAGGTTCCACGTGGGCAGTCAGGGCAGCACTGGCAGCCCAGACAACTTCAGCTCGCACGTCGCTCGCGGCCCCATAGCCCGCCACCCCCAGCAGCAGCAGCAGCGTGCCTCCTGGACCCCTGGGATCGCCCACATGACTCACCCACCCCACCCATCACCCGCCCCCACTTCCCTCCTCCAGGTTCCACGTGGGCAGTCAGGGCAGCAACGGCAGTCCCGACAACTTCAGCTCGCACGTCGCCCGCGGCCCCAGAGCCCGCCACCCCCAGCAGCCGCAGCAGCGCGCCTCCTGGACACCCGGAATCGCCCACATGACTGCAGCCGCCGCTGCTGCCGCCGCCGCAGCAGGAGGAGCAGGAGCAGGAGCGGTGGGAGGGGTGGGAGGAATAGGAGCGGTGGGGTTGGGGGCAGGGAGGGCGCAGCCTGTGCCTGTGTGGAGGCCGGGGATGGGGGGGCTGCCTCCGAATGCGGTGGAGTTGGGGGGCAGCAGTTGGAGGAGCACCAGCAGCTTCGGGTCGCCACAGCTCATGGCGTTCTATTTCGGGGCCACCCCCCCCGGCTCCTACAGGTGTGTGCTGTGTGCCTTGAGGTAGGTTGTGTGCCGTGTGCCATGCCTCATGCTGCGAATGCGGTGGAGTTGGGGGGCAGCAGTTGGAGGAGCACCAGCAGCTTCGGGTCGCCACAGCTCATGGCGTTCTATTTCGGGGCCACCCCCCCCGGCTCCGACAGGTGGGTTAGGCTGTGTGCGGAGGGGGGGAGAAGAGGGGTGGTTTGGCGAGGGGGGGTGTATTATTTTGAGGCGAGGGTTGAACGCTATGACACTCATATCCCGCTGCCCCCAGCTCATCGAGGTTTGGTGCTCGTCTTTGCACCACTTTTCACCCCTCTGCGCCCCTCTGTGCAGCCTCCTCCCTCTCTATCTTCTGGGGAATGCCTGCTGGGCTGGCCATGCTTCCACCTCTCGCTGTACCCATCTTCACCCCTCTGTACCCCTCTGTCTCCCGCATTAACCCTCTTTGCACCGATTCTCAACCCTCTCACCACAGTGGCTCGGCAGCCTCCTCCCTCTCTAGCTCCTGGGGCATGCCTGCTGGGCTGGCCATGCTTCCACCTCTCTTTGCTCCCCTCTTTACCCCTCTGCACCCCTCTGTACCTATCTGTGTCCCTCTGTGCCCCTCTTTGCACCGCTGTTCACCCCTCTGCACCGCAGTGGCTCGGCTGCGTCCTCCCTCTCTAGCTCCTGGGGCATGCCTGCTGGGCTGGCGATGCTTCACCAGCAGCAGCAGCAGGGGGAGAAGAAGGAGAAGGAGAAGGGGGAGGAAGCGGCAGGGAAACAGGCAGGGGACGCAAAGGAAGGCGAGAAGAAAGACGGCGAGAAGGAGGCAGATGCAGGGAAGGAGGGTGTGAAAGAGAAGGACCAGAAGCGGGGCAAGGGGGGGGGACTCCTAAGCCCTCCCAAGGGCGTCACTCCCCTCCCCTTCGCCCCTGGGTCTGCCCCTACGGGCAGTATGATGCATATGGCGGCAGCGGGAGGGCGGCACAGGGACAGGGGGAGGGGAGTGGTGGGGTCGGTTGGAGGGAAGGGGGGAGCGGGGCTGCTGTCGGCTAGTCTGGGGTCTGGAGGGCAGCAGCACCAGCACGTCAGCCACGCGCTGCTGGAGGAGAATGGGTTCAAGCAGCAGAAGTGAGTGTGGGTGGGTGGATGGCACGGTGTGAGTGAAGTGAGTATGGGTGGGGTGCATGGTAGGGTATCCAATGGAGTGAGGTAAGAATGGAGGGGGCGGGGCTGCTGTCTGCTAGTCTGAGATTGGGAGGGCAGCAGCACCAGCATGTCAGCCATGCTTTCTTGGAAGAGAATGGATTCAAGCAGCAGAAGTGAGTGTGAATGGGGTGTATGGTATGGGGCGTGCTATGGTGTGAGGTAGAGAGAGGGGAGCAGGGCTGCTGTCTGCTAGTCTGGGGTCGGGAGGGCAGCAGCACCAGCACGTCAGCCACGCTCTCTTGGAAGAGAATGGGTTCAAGCAGCAGAAGTGAGTGTGGGTGGGGTGTATTGCATGGTATGGAGTGAGTTTTTTTTTTTTGAATATGTAAACTATACACGGGTGATACAAGTGCATATAAACATATGTCAGTCGCAACGGAGCGCGAGAGGCCTAGTCTGATACTGGCCTCAGGGGCGGTTTCTAGGGCGGATGCAGAGCCCGGCGTGAAAGGTTCCATAGCGCGCCAAAGTTATGAGTCCACTTCCAACCCTTGCCCACCAGTAGCCGGCATGGAGTGAGTGTGGGTGGGGTGCATGGTAGTGTATGCTAGAAGCACCAGCATGTCAGTCACGCGTTGCTGGAAGAGAATGGGTTCAAGCAGCAGAAGTGGGTGTGGGTGGGGTGAGTTGGTCGCATGGTATGAAATTAGGGTAGCTGGAATAGTAGCACCCCTACCACCACCATCACCTGTCAGTCACGCGCTGCTGGAGGAGAATGGATTCAAGCAGCAAAAGTGAGTGTGGGGTGGGGCGCATGGCATGGTATTGTGTGAGTGTAGGTGGGGTGCATGGCATGGTATTGTGTGAGTGTAGGCGAGGTGCATGGCATGTGTCCGTCTGCTAGATACTTTTGAGACGTCTCAAAAGTGGTATGGAGTGAGTGTAGGTGGGGTGCATGGCATGGTATTGTGTGAGTGTAGGCGAGGTGCATGGCATGTGTCCGTCTGCTAGATACTCGTTCTTCTCACGCCCCTGAAGTTGCAGGGACTTTTTGAGAATTATCAAAAAAATCCCTGCAACGTCATGGCATGTGTCCGTCTGCTAGATGCTTGTTCTTCTCATGCCCCTCTCCGCCCTCTCACCCTTCTTTTCCCTCTTCCCCCTGTCCCTCCCTTTCCTGGTGCCCCTCCTTCTACAAGAGGTGTCACATCTTGAACAAAAAAGAAAATGGTGTTTCCTTTTGCTCTGTCTCGTCTCTCAGACCTCTCCCCAATTGCCCCTTTCTCCCTCCCCTCGCTCCCCTCCCTCCCAGGTACTCCTCCTTCTACAAGAGGTGTCTCAAGTGTAACGCCTGCGTTGCCCTCTCTCGCCTCTCATGCTCCTTTCTCCTCTCTCCTCTCTCTTCACTCTTGACCCTCTCTCCCCTTTTCCCCTCCCAGGTATTCCTCCTTCTACAAGAGGTGTCTCAAGGAGCGCAAGAAGCTGGGCAGCGGCCGCTCTGAGGTGAGACACTTGAAGGGGGCCTCACTGAGGGTCATTCTCTTACCAGTAGAGCTTCTTGTCATAGCTCCTTCTACAAGAGGTGTCTCAAGGAGCGCAAGAAGCTGGGCAGCGGCCGCTCTGAGGTGAGACACTTGAAGGGGGCCTCACTGAGGGTCATTCTCTTACCAGTAGAGCTTCTTGTCATAGCTCCTTCTACAAGAGGTGTCTCAAGGAGCGCAAGAAGCTGGGCAGCGGCCGCTCTGAGGTGAGACACTTGAAGGGGGCCTCACTGAGGGTCATTCTCTTACCAGTAGAGCTTCTTGTCATAGCTCCTTCTACAAGAGGTGTCTCAAGGAGCGCAAGAAGCTCGGCAGCGGCCGCTCTGAGGTGAGACACTTGAAGGGGGCCTCACTGAGGGTCATTCTCTTACCAGTAGAGCTTCTTGTCATAGCTCCTTCTACAAGAGGTGTCTCAAGGAGCGCAAGAAGCTCGGCAGCGGCCGCTCTGAGGTGAGACACTTGAAGGGGGCCTCACTGAGGGTCATTCTCTTACCAGTAGAGCTTCTTGTCATAGCTCCTTCTACAAGAGGTGTCTCAAGGAGCGCAAGAAGCTCGGCAGCGGCCGCTCTGAGGTGAGACACTTGAAGGGGGCCTCACTGAGGGTCATTCTCTTACCAGTAGAGCTTCTTGTCATAGCTCCTTCTACAAGAGGTGTCTCAAGGAGCGCAAGAAGCTCGGCAGCGGCCACTCTGAGGTGAGACACTTCAAGTGAAGGTAACCCTACTTTGAAGTTGACGTACTCTTGTAACAGTTGTTACCCTAGAACCTAGACGAGCAGGAGATGAATACGCCGTTCCTCTCCTCTTCTGCTGCTACTTCTCTTACCCCCCAAGAGCTTCAACCAACAGATGCACACAGCGGTCCCCACCCCTTCTTCCCCTCCCGCATCCTCCCTCGCACCCTCCCTCCCTCCCCTCCTCCCTCCCTCCCCAACCGCCTGTTCAAATCCTCAGGAGATGAATACGCTGTTCCGCTTCTGGTGCTACTTCCCGCGCAAGAGCTTCAACCAGCAGATGCACACAGCGACCTCACCCCATGCGTGCCCTGATTCGTCATGTTCTTCCCTGCCTGCCCCCATGCTCCACACCCCAGGAGATGAACACGCACCCAGCAGATGTACGACGACTTTAAGAACTACTTCTGGTGCTACTTTCTGCGCAAGAACTTCACCCAGCAGATGTACGACGACTTTAAGAGGCTTGCCTCTGAGGACGCGGCTCACACTGATCCTTGCTCTCTCAACCTCAACTCCCCCACCCGTCCGCCTCTCCACCCCTCTCCCTCCCCCTGCCTCTCCTCCCCCTTTCCCCCCCGTTTCTCTCTCTTCCCCTCCTTATGTTCATTGAACAAGCAGGAGATGAATACTTTGTTCCGCTTCTGGTGCTACTTCCTGCGCAAGAACTTCAACCAGCAGATGTACGATGACTTTAAGAGGCTCGCCTCTGAGGACGCGGCTTCCAAGTACTATTACGGCATGGAATGCCTCTTCCGCTTCTACAGGTACGTACCGTACGGTATTGTGCGTCTTAACAAAGTGGCACTACGCGAGGTGTATCCAAGTGCTACTACGGCATGGAGTGCCTCGTCCGCTTCTACAGGTGGGTACTGTGCTATGCTGTGCTAAACGTTTCTTGAAATAACTCGTAACTCACTGAGGACGTGGCTTCTAAGTACTACTACGGCATGGAGTGCCTCGTCCGCTTCTACAGGTGGGTACTGTGCTATGCTGTGCTAAACGTTTCTTGAAATAACTCGTAACGCACTGAGGACGTGGCTTCCAAGTACTACTACGGCATGGAGTGCCTCGTCCGCTTCTACAGGTACTGTTCTTTGCCTCGTATCTAAGTACCGCTACGTGAGTCTCTATGCGAGATGCTTCCAAGTATTACTACTGCATGGAGTGCCTCTTCCGCTTCTACAGGTACTTACTTTGTCTCTTAGTTAAGTTATACTACTTAGCTCTTTGTACGCATGGAGTGCCTCTTCCGCTTCTACAGTTGTGTTCTGCCTATAGAGTCGACTCAAAGGTAGACTGCAACCAGCAGATGTACGACGACTTCCGACTCTCCAGCTACTGTTCTGCTTAGTTAAATGTTTCTTAAGTAGGCTCTATCAACTGTTACGGCGAAAGGTGCCTCTTCCGCTTCTACAGGTACCCTTTAAATATTACTGTGTCTCAGCAGCTCTTTATGACCTACTGGAAACTCTCGACCCGTTTTCACCGCCTTCCACTCCCTTCCACCGCTTGTGTTCTTTGTATGGGCCCCCACCAGCTACGGGCGGGAGTCCAAGTGCGAGGAGCCCATGTACACTGACTTCGAGCAGCCCACTCTGACCTCCTCCTACAAACCTTCCACCCTTTTCTGCCCCTTTCCGCCCCCTTCCACTCCCTTCCACTCCCTTCCACTCCCTTCCACCGCTGCATTCTCCAGCTACGGCCTGGAGTCCAAGTTTGAGGAGCCCATGTACACTGACTTCGAGCAGCCCACTCCGCCCTTTCACTCCCGCACCATCCCACCCCTTTCCACCACTTGAATGCCTTGTTTCTTCCCCACCCATCAGCTACGGGCTGGAGTCCAAGTTCGAGGAGCCCATGTATGTCGACTTCGAGCAGCTGGCTCTGGACATGTACCAGCGGGACGGGAACCTTTATGGGCTCGAAAAGTACTGGTGAGTTGATTGCACTCTCATGGGAGTTAGGAATGTTGTTGACTTATTCATCAGCTCACCCACTTCGAGCAGCTGACTCTGGACATGTACCAGCGGGATGGGAACCTGTACGGGCTCGAGAAGTACTGGTGAGTTGGTTGGGGGTAGAGATGGGGATGGGATGGGATGGGATGGGATGGGATGGGATGGGATGGATGGGCGGTCAAGGGTGGTTAGAGCAGCTGACTCTGGACATGTACCAGCGGGATGGGAACCTTTATGGGCTGGAGAAGTACTGGTGAATTGAGATCCGCTCTAATGGAAATTGGGTATTGACTGTAGGGGTACTGGTGGTGGGATATTGGAGGGTGGTTAGAGCAGCTGACTCTGGACATGTACCAGCGGGACGTCAACCTCTACGGGCTGGAGAAGTACTGGTGAATTGAGATTAGGTGGGATGGGATGGTGTGGGGTGGGGTGGGGTGGGGTGCTCCAAGGTGGTTCGAGCAGCTCACTCTGGACATGTACCAGCGCGATGGCAACCTGTACGGGCTTGAAAAGTACTGGTGAGTTGATCGAACTCTCATGGGAGTTAGGAATGTTTCCGACTTATTCATCAGCTTGATTTCGAGCAGCTCACTCTGGACATGTACCAGCGGGACGGGAACCTCTATGGGCTGGAGAAGTACTGGTGAGCCGATCGCACTCTCGTGGGAGTTAGAAATGTTGTTGACTTCTTCATCAGCTCACTCATTTCGAGCAGCTCGCTCGGGACATGTACCAGCGGGATGGGAACCTGTACGGGCTCGAGAAGTACTGGTGTTGGAAGGGGTCCTCTCTTGGAGATTTAGTGTTAGTTCGAGTACGCATTTATCGCTCACTCACTTCGAGCAGCTCACTTTGGACATGTACCAGCAGGACGGGAACCTGTACGGGCTCGAGAAGTACTGGTGAGTTGAGTTTCACTATCGTGGGATCAGAGTATTCGCTGTGAGCTCTCTTCACGATTCCTGAGTTCTCTTCACATCCTTTCCCCCACACCACAGGGCATACCACTTTTATCGCAAGGACAAGGACACGCGGGAGGTGAAGAAGCACCCTGAGCTCGAGAAGATTCTCAGCGAGAAGTTCCGAACCATGGCTGACTTTAGGGCCGCCAAGGATGCTCAGAAACGCGCCCTGGCTGAAGCCCAGGCCAAGGCGAAGGGGGAGAAAGCGGGTGGGGAGACGGGGAAGGAGGAGAAGGTGGAGGGAGGGAAGCAGGGGAAGAAAGAGGGGGAGGAGGGAGGGGAGGGGAAGAAGGGAGAGGGGGAAGGCGCTGCTGCTGCAGAGGCAGGAGGTGGGGCCGTGGAGGGAGGAGCAAAGGGGGAGGACGGAGGGAAAGAGGGAGGTGTAGCAGATACGGCAGAGGACAGCGGAGCAGCAGCAGCAGCAGCAGCAGAGTCAACAACATAGAGACAGGGTTGAGGATTGCACGGTGTATGTTGTTTGTGCTTGTAGCCCCTGCACCTGGTAACTGTAACGCAATGGTTACAGTCACATTAACCGGAGCAGCAGCAGTACCTGCCAACCTGCACAATGAGCCTCTCCTCTTCACCAAGCCAAGCCTCCATCCCAGTCCTTATTTACAATGCTTGATCTTCCGAACCTGCCCCATTACCTTTGCCGAACCGGCCTTGCTTCTTTCCGTCAAACCTGGCACCCTTGCTCCGACTGTCGCCTGTCTGGCTCTACGCTTTACCGTGAGCCATGGCTTTTTATTTACCCGTCTCTTTCATCTCAGTATCGTGGATCTTTTTTCTCTCATTCTATTTTTTTTGCTTCCGTCTTGGTGTGTTTCTTTTATGCTTCTTGTATATTGACCCCCTCTGGCTCAAAACTGTAGTTCAAATAGGATCATGATGATTGTTTGAGACATGTTTCTAGGTAGCATAGTGTTTTTATTCTTAGTGGTGCACATCTGTCAAGTATGTGTTCTTGACCTGGGGCTTACCGAAACTGCGGACAAAGCGGGATTGGAGCATGCAACACTCGTCATGTGTAATTTCAGGTGATACTTTTCATCCCTGTCTCGGGTGATCAATCAAATCGCCACCGCACTGTAAATACGTTTATTACATCCGCAACTTTCAGAACATCTTCTAACCCCGCCAAAGAACAATCTGCGCGGGGTTTAGGGCATCAATGTAAGCATCGAACTACAGCCAGGGTTCGAGTTGAGAAATTCGAAACACTGATAAACTTGAACGTGTTCAATCGGCCACGTAGATTTCACTGCTCGATCCATCCTTGCGCAACCGCACGCCGTTCGTTTGCACTTTCCAGCCGCGGTACTTTCTGCCCACACATCGCCCCCTGCCCTGAAAAGGTTCTCTATTGCCGTCTTTCTTTGCCCTTGCATCAGAATTCTGGGTCGCTGATGTACACAACACATGCTTGATTTGCAGGCAACGGCCTACGCGTTACAGGCATACATGCACACATGCACTTGATTTGCAGGCACACGGGTGCCTGTCGTGGTAAAAGGTCACAGAACGCATCTAGAAACGACAGGCACAAAACCCTTTTTCATCAAATGTCATCGTTGCTGAAGCCTTTGAAGGGCGCTCTTGCGAGAGAAACAAACAACCCGAAATTGTTGGGCTTCACAAAAGCTTCAGGTGTACTTTTTACAGTACGTTTTACTGTATTTTACTTTCCCACGGATCGGGCGTGCGGTTTGGTTTGGGTGAGAAGCGTCAAGGTTCGGTAAGATTTGTTGTTGAACGGCCACAGGCGTGGTGAGATCTTGTGGTCCAGGCGTGCCCCTAATGTAAAAAGGTTATTCCCGAGCCTGCACCGTCAGGTTTGACAAACAACAAGACTCGATTCGACTTGGGGAGGGCGTGTTGATGGAGCCAAATTTGAATCTCGGATTTCCATCCGCCTAGAGGACCATAGAGGACGACGTGCAGTACTTGGTTAGCACGGGTGTCCTCGAGTCCTAGGCACCGCAACTCTAAAACCATAGAACCAACCACTCCTTGTCACACACCTCAGCAGAACCCTTCTGGATCGCCCACATCGTCTCTCCTTTCACCCAATCCGAGACGGGCTTGCCCATGTGCAGTATTCTCCGCCTCTCAAACTTTGGATCTTGGCCCGATTTCAAACCAAAGGCCACACGCATATTTGTTTTCCCAGTTGTGTTGCCCTTTGTGAAAGAGAGAACGAAAAAGCTTCAATGCAGACTATGTTTTGTTCACCAACCACCACACCAAATCACCACGACTTCATCAACGAAGCTCTATACAAAACCTGTGGCTCTTCCTTCTATTTATTTTTTCGAACTCAACAAAATCCGCCATGCTCACTCCGAATCAGACCCGCATGCACAGTTCGAAAGTTCCGTGGAACATGTGTGTGTAGCCATTTCCCACCGCACGCGCTCATGACTTACCTCCCCTGTACTGCTGCCAGCGAAGCACCATCTCCCACCAACAGTTTCCCTCACACTAGCACGCGGAGGAGAGGGGAGCTTTTTCCATGACAGACGCAGCACCGCCATTCAATTCAAGCTTGTTGCGCTCCCCCTGGCATATCTGTTTGGCATCTCTTCTTCAGTCACCTCACCTCATCCTCTCTCTTTTCCGCGCTGCGTAAAATAGCAGCACCTGCATTGATTATGCTCGCCCTTGATCCGCAAGTTGTCGTTATCCTCTATCCACCATCCTCGCAGCTCATATTGCATCATACTTTGAATCCAGATATGTAGAGTAATTGCGAGACTTCAGCTTTTCCTCCTTCACAAGTGCTCCTCACCCAGCTCCTCTTACCGTCTCGGTTTGCTAGTCTCATCGTCCCGTTTCTCCTGGTCAAACCATCCTCTCAGCGTGCTCACCTGTATGGTCTCTCGCTTCGATTACGATCCGTTTGAACGATCATGGCGTCCTTACGGAGTCGACGCCTATCGTCGCCATTCTGTCGACGTCAAATCGCTTTCGCGTCGTAATCAGGTCGCAATGCAGAGCACTTTGTCAAAGGACAAGGTAGCAGACTACGAGACGTAAAGATCTGGACTTCTAAGACACCTTCTCACATTATCTTTGAGACGTCTAGGAATGCGACCTCTAGGACTTGTATCGTTAAGTTAGCAGCACCAGTTTTAACGTTTTCGGTCTGCAGTTCAGGATCACCCTTCGAGCATTTTAGGGTTACCTAAAAGTCACTGTGGTTGTGTGACGTGGACGTCTGAGTGGCTCAATATTCAAATTTGACTGAAACTTCAATCACACTTAAGGTATTGTTTCCCACCGAGTTTCCAGTTACATTTGATGATACTTTTTGTTCTGTTACTGGCCGTTTTTTTCACGTCTTTCAGCTCGTTTTTCTGTTCCCCGTCGTCTTGCTTGTCGCCTTTCATGCCGTGCGTTGTAATGGTTTCCCCCTACTCTCCGTTAGGTCGTCCTTCCCCCACCAGTCACCCCCCCGTTTAAAGGCACCGAAATTACATAAATATCGCCAAATGTGTAGCATAAATTTCTTGCATTCCCTCATCGACGTTTCAATTCTGCAGCGACAGCGCCAATGACCGGCGGCGTGTACGGCTCCGCAAGAGGAACCCGCAATCCGCGGCGAGACCGGAACAGAAACGGCGAGGAGGAGAACAGCAAAGGCAGCCATGGTAGTAACGGCAGCCAGCAATCATCCGGCGCCGAGGGATCGCCGAGTGGAGGAGACGCGCCCGGGTCAACAGCGTGGGCGATAGACTTCTCAGAGGTACGCGATCGGCCTTTGATTTACGGAGACTTTCCAGAGGTGTACGATCGGCCTTCCTACGAAATTCTCGGAGTCGCGAGAGTCGCGGGAGTCGCAGGAGCCATGGAAGTGGCGTGATTGCGAGAGTCGCAGGAGTCGTGGGAGTCGCAAGCGTCGTGATCGCGAAAGGTTAGGCGAGCTGATCGCAAAAGGATCCTCTGGAGTGGTTAACTCAAGCGCGTATCAGGGCGCACGCGTGGCGATTAAGATCCTGCGGTCCCAGTGGGCCTGGGCATTCTTATTTACCCTCCTCCCCACCTCCCGTCCAAACACCTACCCACCTTCTCCCTCGTTTCAGGTCTAGTTGGGCGAGTTACTAGCCACGGAGTTGGGCGAGTTACTAGCCACGGAGTTGGGCGAGTTACTAGCCACGGAGTTGGGCGAGTTACTAGCCACGGATCGTTCGGCGTGATGCATTCCCGCACTTGCCAAGGCACACGCGTAGCGATTAGGATCCTGCTCTTCCAGGGTGTTTCAACCTTCACTCCCCTTTTCTCTTCCCCCACCCCCCTTCCCCTCATCGCGTCAGGTCGAGTTGGGTGATTTAATTGCTACAGGATCGTTCGGCGTGGTGCATTCGGGCACGTACCAAGGCTCGCGAGTCGCGATAAAGTTTCTGCTCTTCCCCGAGGCTTCTAGCGAGGATGAGCTGAACCGCGCCAAGCGGGGGTTCCGTCAAGAGGTGTCCGTGTGGCATAAACTCAACCACCCCAACGTCGTCCAGGTACGAACAACTCTCAGGTTTTCCGGAAGTGTACGTACGGAGGGCTCAACAAGCGGGTTACGAGGGTGAATACGTCTCAATTGCCACTGGACGGGACGCGAAGCGAGGGTTCCGAACAAGCATAAACTCAGCCACCCCAACGTCATCCACGTACGCACCCAGCGTACGTCCACCTGTCAGGTACGTCGAGAAAGGACTCGGATTCCCAGGTACAAACCTGTCATTGGTTGGTTGGGTTCCTGCGAATGCATTCGTTCGGACCCTTTCTGTTACCATCTCTCATTTCTCCTGCGCTTCGCTCTCAGGCGCAGCTCGCTCGCAAAGCGTTCGCGCTTGGTGTGTATCCGTACTCTCAAAACGCGGACGTCATAGCAAATGAACTAGAAAAAAAAATACACGGACAATCTGAACAGCTTAGATCCTTGAAGGTACAAAACGCAAGTGAAAGTGGAACTAGGCGTCGCTACGGCCAGGCCAGGCCACGACATGGCAGCAAAGGTTGGGTGGCACAGTCAAAGCCTTTTGTCCTGTCCCCTTCAACCCTAGATCCCTCGCCACCTCACCCTCCCCTCCCTTTCCACACCCCCCTCCCCATCCCCATCCCCCCCCCCCCCCCCCCCACCTCCCCCTCCTAGGTGTGCCATCGTGACGGAGGTCCTCAACTTGTTCTGCCCTGTGCTTTGCTTTCTCCTTCACACCCCACCCCACCATTTTTCTCCTCCCCCGACCTTCATTCTCCTCCACAAATTCCTAGGAGCGTACATCAACCCGCCCAAGTGGGCCATAGTGACAGAGTTCCTAGACGGCGACTCTGTTGAAGGCTTTCTCTCCTTTCTCCTTCACACGGCACCCCATCTCCCCCCCCCCCCTCCCCCTCTCATACCAGTTCCTAGGGGCGTACATCAACCCGCCCAAGTGGGCCATAGTTACAGAA